CAACCACAGACGAGGTATTGCTCTAGAGCTTCAATATAACGATGGTTGATACTGGTGTGGTCAAGAGGAAGGATACTACAAAGGGTCCTCCTTTGCGCATATTATCTCTAGGTAAAGCAAACAACCCCTTCAAGCTTTCGCGCAACTGACTAAGGCTATATAGATGGAGGTGGTGTACGAGGATATTCTATGCTCATAATTATTCAAGAGTTAATGCATAGAACCTATGTCGAAATCGAAGGAAAAGCGCCCCGACGAGATCAAATTCCAAAACCTGCCGACCATTTCGATTTAATATGTGGTACGGGAACAGGCGGTTTAATCGCGATCATGCTTGGCAGATTGCGATTGGATTTGGAGACTTGTAAAGAAGTTTATGTACGAATGACTAGGAAAGTTTTCGAAACGGACAAAACAATTGCGGGTATACCATATCGATCGACTTTATTCAAAGCTTCGAAGTTGGAGGAGGCGATCAAGGAGTGTGTTAGAGAACATACATTATTCGAGAAGGAAGGAAATGACGGGGATAAATCCGCGCCAGCATCCGCCTTTCCCGGAAGTCCGATTAGTCCATTCAGCCCGGCAGCGAGATCAGAACCAAGACGACATTCAAGTAATGCTAGTGTCGCAAGTTTCAGTAATAGAAATCCCGCGAGCTACCAAAATAAACCATACATGTCGTCGAGGTTGGGAAATCCTAACGCAAGATTATATGACAATCGCCCAGAGAGGACTAAGACGTATGTTACACTGCATGCCTCAAATACGCAATAGCTAACATATAATAGGGCTGTGACGGCAATCTACAAAGGTACACGCAAAGGTGGCGCGCCAGCCATACTAAGATCCTACGATTCACGGAAAGAGCCATCACCTGAATACGATTGTAAAATTTGGGAAGCGGGAAGAGCAACATCAGCCACAGGACTCGCATTCAAACCTATTCAAATCGGACAATCAGTGTTTATAGACGAAGGAGCTGGCCAATACAATCCTGCGCCCTTTGCTCTCGATGAAGCTACAGTCAATGAATGGCCTGGGCGAGATGTCGGTGTGTTTGTTAGCATAGGAACAGGAAAGAGACCACCAGGAAGCGATCAAAATCAACACATGTGGTATGAAGGTTTCTTGGGCGAATTTGCAGATGCAAGAAGGCGATTGATAGCCAAAATCGAAGGATGCGAACTCACACATCAATACATGAAGGAAGAACATCTAAGCAAACGAGGCGTCAATATTGAAAATTATTATCGACTAAATGTGGAAATCGGTGTAGGAGAATTTGGTATGAACGAATGGAATCGTCTCGCAGATATCAGCACCGGTACTCGAAGATATCTCGGCAAAAGTGATGTTCAAAAAATGAATATCGAAGCAGCTGTGAAATTGTCAAAAATTCACAGAGCCATTCAGAGAGCTAATGGTCATATGAGGATACCATCAATGGGTAATCGAGGAGAAAGTTATAAAAACTTACCCGATGTTCCAGAAGCTAATCCATTGGCTGTGGAACTCCCAGCTGAAGTACCTTTGACACCTGTTTCCGGTAATGCAGCGTGGACACCATCTCCAAGACCAAGTTACGAGTCAGGACATCATGATAGTCTTGAAGTTGCTCCTCTTGGTTCTATCAAAAACGATCCTTTTTCGCCAGTCTCATCTCCAGATCATCAATCACCACATTCATCTCCTTTGAATCATCCAATAGACCATGGCGACAGGTTAACAGTCAGTTCTCCAACTCCATCACAATACCGCACGGCGTCTGGCTCTGATAAAATTGCAATCATGAGTTTGGATGAATACCCTAGACCAGAAATTAGAATCTCGGATCCGCCGCCAAGAAACCCAAGGAGAGTTTCAGGTCCACCGCCGGTACCACCAAAGACACCGATTAATGGGGAGAGACCTGGAGATGCTATGCAGAGGAGACCTATTGGACATGGAAATGGCATTGTAGCGCCTTATCCATTGGAAGATGGACCGCCGCCAGTGGCTAATATGGCAAGGAAACCTAATTATGGAAGGTAGAGAAGTTAAGTGGAGTGTGATCATCTGAGCCGGTGGACTTGATGATACGGGTGGAGATGGTGAATTGGAAAGGAAATCGGCGTTCGGCTTGAGGTCTCAGAAATGAGCATATTATTGATTATTACGGGTTATGATGGAGTTCGGAATCAACCGATTGGTTGTTGCGATACCTTTTTGTTTTTATGCTTCTATGGGGATGACTGGAATGAAAGCGGATGAATGGGGAGAATACCATTCCAATGGAATAATAGATGCGAGTAGATTGGATTGATACGTCCTCCTGCACAGGAATGGTTTTGATATACAAGTAAATAGTTTTTTTTTTTTCTAAAATTTAAAGATTTATTTTATTATTCAAATTTATGAATTTTTCTTGCCTCTGGAGGTTTCGTTATAGATTGTTTCTTCTGGTGCTTGTGTGATGTGAATTTGAGAGGGCGAAGGGGGGGGGGGGGGTGACGCTGGAAAGTTTGATTGTCTTGCTGTGCATTCTTATGGTCAGTTTTTGTTGGACATAGATGTCAGATCTTGGATATTGAATATTGAATATGGAATATTGGATACCTGGGATGTATTTGGAGATGGACTCATTAGTAGTACTGATCTTGTAACAATTGAGAATATCAAGCGTGGAAGAGAGAGGAGCGGGGGCTGAGAAACTGGGTATCCTCTACTATCATATCTATGAAAATGATGAGATGAGAGTTGATGAGAGAGTAGACTAGAATTGTGGTCATGGTGGGGTTAGATGGATATCTTTCTGTGTGATTGTGGTGGGTAGGTATGATGAAGTGAGTGTGAGTGGAGAGATAGGAGGTAGTAGATGAGTGAGTGAGTGGTTGTATAGTTTCCATCTGATACTTTCATCCTTTCATAAAGAAAAATCGGAGGATTCTTTGGTGAATACTTCCGAGAAGTTTGTGAGGTGGTATATTATAGTGATGAATGCCTTGAATGCTTTGGGCTGGCGAGACTAGTACAAGTATCTCGCCGAGTTCTATCCTCGCTTCTAGTATCCCACAATCATATTAGGTATGGTACCGATTCTGAAGATGATCCTCAGAGGAGCTTTGGAGATTCGGAGAAAGATTGCAGGATTTTAGACAGTTCTTTTCTTGATTGCGTAATCAACTAATGCTTTTTGTATCTTTGAAAACGCTTCAATGTTTGATAGAATTTCATTGTCATAAATCAGCATCTGAATAGTTATCACTGTCATTTCAATACTTTCTACGCTCAATATCAACAGCAAGAAAAATAAATCGCCCCTCTCCGTAAGAGGATACCCTAAACACCCGAAATTTACTATCCACTTCAATGACTCATCTCGATGGGAACTCTTTGTATGCTTGGGTACTCAGGACACGGCTAAATATTCCTTGGGCGGTCTTCAAATTATTCTATCTTTTATTGACAACCAAACAAGGAATGATGACAGCACATATTTATCCTTAAACAGTACCATTTTTAGGCTCCAGTTCGGAAGTGCCTACAGCAAAGATTTCACTTTTCTATTTTTACTCCAAGCGAAACCCAAGCCATATAAGAGGTCTCTAGAAAGCAATAACCAAGGCACTATTCTTAGAATACTTGTATGAACACATTTGATGGAAGCAGATCTTCTATTTTTTCAGGCGCATACTCGTGAAGAACTTGTAGTCGATTACTTGGAACATAACATGGTAGTTGACCAGTATTACGAAAGGTGATTGGTGTAAAGCCATTAACGTTGTTGTATCATTCCTACTGTCATCAGAGTTGACTAATATCGGAGCGAATTCAGACTCATAATTGAGACTTCTAGATAAGTAGTTGCTCGCTAAAGATCTTGACCAGGAATTTGTAGAAGAGGAGGTGAGCATTCGAGTAATTTTGGGAAGCTATATGAGTTGGATGATTGAATTGAAATGAGTTTGATGTTGATTATGATGACAGCGAATTTTGATTATTGAGGTGCAACTAAACAATAATTATTACTTTTCGATCCCCAAGTGATCTAAAGCTTTCTCAGATATATTTATTCGTCTTCAATCAGGGGTCTCATGGAAGTAATTGACATATATGAATAAATTCCAGGTATGTGTTTCTTACAACACTATATCCCATCTGCGCTTATCAACCCCGTATTATATCAATCTCAGGTGTCGAGTGTATCTTATTCGCTACCTTAAGCGATCCGTGTATCTGGAGATGTTCCTCTATGAAAGCACAAGTTGTCGCATATTACGCATCACGCTCGACAGGTGATTTTCATAATTCAAACTCTATTTCTCCACATTCTTAAATCTATTGCATGATCTGTTTCGCCGTACAGTTCCCGAACAATAGAAGTACGATAGTGGGTAACGAGTGGCATGGATGCCAATTCTTCGATAAGCTCTTTCAGCATCTTTTATCTACCGCCGCCCCTGAATTAGACGACCACGAGAAATAATTCATAACAACAGTCTGAATTCCTGTAATACGCCATTATATCAGAGAAAATCTTATGGCAGTAACAATGATGCAATTCTATTTAAGCTACTTGTCTTAGGCTATTTTTAAATAATATGTGGCCTTTGACTAGTTAGTGCCTTCTAGAGACCTTCTAATGTATTTACTAAAAGAGTGGTCCCACTTTTTCACAACTACAACGCAGTACTCATGAGCTGAGACTGCCTGTGATTCGTTATTCGTCGAAGATGGCCTTTCGTGATACTTGATGTAGTTAATTGTGCACTAAATGTGTACCAAAATGTGCTACGGCTGTCTGGTTAGCTCTATCGTCCCAATGTGAATGAAAAGGTTCTTTTCCCGTACGGTCACAACCGTTCTTAAGAAAATTCATTGAAATTACCACTCAATACATTTTATCACAGTCAAGTCATCTATTCAATTTACTACATATATAAGAACTATATTTCAAAAATTGAAAGAATCACTACACAAGCAATTCCCACCATTTCGAGATCGACCACTCTGACGTCATGACCATTCGTAAAATGCACAATCCGACGTCTGGAAGGGTGATCGAGAACACAAGAGTCGCAAAGAAAGGCAAGGATATCATGAGACCAGGACCACGTATGGAGCGACAAGCCCTCCGGGCTAACTTCCGACCCCTATATCCCGAGGATGATTCTGTATCGGGCGGAAAGAAGTCTGCCATGGGAGAAGACTCCTCGATCATCGATGGATGTCTCTCGTTGCCGTCCAAAGACAATAACCCGATGGTGTCTGAGAAGGAACCTGAACCCGAGATCATTCCAAAGCTCCCCGAAAATTCAACTGAAAACGATTCGGAACCAGACATATTTGAAGAGCTGTTGGAAAAGTTTCCTCACTTCTTTCACCTAGATGAAGATCTACCGATTATCGAGCCTAGTCCACCAATCTCCGAGGACACAGTCCAATACGATTCAACCCCCAAATCCGAAAGAAAAAGAGCAAGATCGGCCCTGTTAACATTCTTCTCGTCGCCGAGTAATAGGCGCGGTAAATTAAGAATAACTAAGGAAGAAGGTGGTCTTGAAATTCTCAAGAACTGCCGGAGCCAGGATGTTTCTGGTATAAAGTTGCAGGTCGATACTGTTGATGATATCATGGAAAGATTCTTTTCGGCAACTAATCAGTACGATACTTTAATGATATCGAGGGGGATAACCCAGAGTCAAGGGATTAAGATTGAATTGCAGGGTTGGAGGAAGTCAGAACCGACCGCAGACTGTGGTAGCGTGGACATCTCGGGACTGAGCTTAGACGGGTGAGAAGGAGGGGAAAGATGGATTTACTGTGCCAGTGAAGAAAGGTGAATCTATCTCAAAAGATGGACTGAAGTTAAATCTGTTGATTTCTGTCAATAAGCATGTTTGCAAAATATTAGTGGGAAGACTGCTGTACAGGAATACTTTAATTATCATTAATTTCTAATCTCAAATTCAGCCTTCATCCAAGGTTCCTTACCTAGAAATTGAAACCATCGGTACGGGGATATTTGTAGATTTCGATTCTGCAATCGCCCAGTTTCTTTTCATTATCATATTTTCTAGAGCATATTTGGTGCAGCATAAGTAAGTATCGAAGACGGTATGGTTTTGAAATGTGGGCCGAGGATTAGCATATGAATACTTACAAAGAGATGTTTGGGATTAACACTAGATGTCCATTCGCCTGTACGGATTTCATCCGTGATCTATTTCAAAGTAATAAATTTCCTTCTAATCCAAAAAGTAAGAGCACAAAATATTCATAGCACCCATTGATTCCCCAGTCCAGCCAAAGATTCCTTCCATCCACTTTTCCTCGCATTGCAGAATGCTTTTCAAAAGCAGCACAGATCAAAAGCTCATAATACCTAGACGCCATATTGCCCATTGGTAACGAAGAAGAAAATGTTCGAAAACAACGACCCCGCCTCATATCTCATCATCCATCTCTATTTTACGTCCCCTTTCTTGATCCAATGTTGATCCAGCGTCTATCCCATATTCGCACCCATTTCACGTCCACTAGTAGTCGCCGTCGTGGGGTTGTCGTTATTCCAACTCAAATATGTGTGATCACCCAGTTTTCTTGGTTTTATAAGATGAGTGACGGTGAAGAGTGCACCGAGTAGGATACAGAGACCTCCAACCACAATATAGGCGATACCGAGGAAAGGATTCTTACCACCCATAACGGTACGGGTTGAAAGAACAATTGATTTAGTACCGCCATATTCGGTAACATTGAAAACTGTGGATTGTTAGGGAAGAAAATAAGAACGTTGCAGTTTTAAAGCTTACGATGTGTGATGTTGACTTGATATTGACCAGTTTTCATAGTATCGTCGTCATTTCTCTGCAACAATTTACTAAATGTTGGCAAACCAGCCAGTCTCATCCAAACTTGGAATGCTTCATCATTCTCGAGATCAGGATGGTAATCGTCACTATAATTGTTTGGATACCGCTTGACCCAGTTTGGAGGAACAACGACATCAGACCAATTGTATTTTGTTTGACCATATAGCTCCCTATCACTACTCCATGACACATCCGAGTTGTTCTTCATAGGATAGACTACGCCACCTGAGGTGCTATTTGCGACATTTTGTAGGAATGGACTTGAAAATGTATCATTGAACACAGAGTTTGGAGCTAGACCACAGGGATAATATGGCTTGTCGACACCATTAACATTTACAGTCGTAAGTGGCGTGCAATCGCCAGAATGTATGGTACTTGCGGTGACTGCTTTGCCGGAAAGCTGATCAGAATCGAAGGACTTAGCATATCGTCGATGATTTTGGTAGAAGTTGGTGAGCTTATAGTAGAATAGAACAGGAGGCTCCATTTCGGATTTGATTGGGAATGTGAGTCGACATTGCACAGCTGGAACAGTAGCATGCGCGATACTGCCGTTGTAGTACGTTTGGTTGATATCTTGTCTGCACCATTGCGGAGGAGTTCCCTCATATACATATGGTGTTTTGAAAAACATTTCAACATTGTCATCAGGCATGAGAGAGCCTGTATCGAGGTAGTCGGTGCAGGCTGGCGCATCTGTATGGCATTTCGAATAATCGAGTACAATTTCCTGGACCTAATCCAAAACATCAGTCATGACTTTATCAAGACAAGTCCTGTAGAATTCGTCCTTCATTTACTGACCACACTACTAGCATATAACAACCCTCCACCAATTGGCGCGAAAATAATTCCGATGGCGAAGAATAATGGGAGTACGGTTTTTGGGGTTAAAATTGGTCTTGAATCGTGTCAGCTTCATTCTTTGGGCAATGAATACCAAACGTCACTCACTGCCACGCCTTCAATCTTTGTTGTCTGAACGCCGTATCTATTTATTACAAACTTTAATCAGCATACGTTCATATGTGTGGCATCAAATAATGGGTCCCTCACTTGCTGGCCGTCTACTCTTCGTCTTTCCTTTGTCACCATGTAAATGAGGATCTTGCGAACTGATGGAGTCCTCATGTTGCATTGCTGGTGGTTGATCAGCCATCTTGAGATTGACTTGCGATCATGAGACGATTATTGTAATCGGTTTTATTCCTCGGTGTGATTCGCAAAAGATTCCAAATGATTGTTGAAAGTTGTCGTCGCGATTATGATGATTGATTGCGCAGTTCAAGCCCGTGGTTTCCGCAGCCGCGATTTAAATTTAGCGCACTTCAGCCACACTTTCAAAACGTTCAGCCACATCAAGGAGGCAACAGAGGCGAGGAAAGGAGATGAGGACATAAAGCTGTAAGAACACAGTATGATGTACTATAATGCCGGAAAAGATTATTGGGCACCTACTAAAAGTATTAGGTGTATACAAGCACCTGATCGTGATGTCAAAAGTCATTTTATTATATTTATGTCAGCTCTAAGGCTCATAGCAGTACTGTGTATTGAGTAATGCTCCCAGCCAGCCCCAAAAAAGAGACCCCAACAACGCTATTTGGATATATTTATACTCCCCAAAAACGCCCATCCCATATATACTTCATATTTAGATCACAAGATCTTGTACAATCATTTACTCGTCTTTGAACAACCACGCACCTCCCGGCCTCATAGCTTCCGCATATCTTTCGGCTACTTTTTCACGCTCTATTTCCTTTTGCTTCTTCTTTAATGCTTCGTCTTCTTGAGTAGTAGGAAAATCAGCCTCCCAGAATCCAGGTGGTGTACTTCTCCTCGGAACAACAGATTTATGCTTCCCCATTGTGTTGGATGCTTTCCATTTTCTAGCTTGTGCTAAACTATCCTTTCTCTCTTCTTTTCCCATTGTCCAAATCTTATGTTTGTTGTCTCCTAAATACTCTTCAAGAAGTTTATCTTCCTCTGCCTTTTGTGAAGTTGTAGGGTTTTCCCTCGTGGGATACAGGGCTTGCGCTAAAGCACCAAATTGCTTCCCGCAACATTCTTCTCTAACACAACCCGGAAGACATTGACGATCTTTACCACGAACTACTTCTGTGTATGCATAATCGTAACCTTGATTGAAGTTTGGATTGATTTTGAAGTGATCAAGTTTTAACGTAGTCACAGGTCGTAATCGGTAAGGCTCTCGTTCGGGATCATCCGAGTCAAGATCTCGCCCGACTCCTCTTCTTGACTTTCCCTTACTTGTTGTCGGTGTCTTGGACGTTCCTGGCTTCACTTTCGGAGTGAGTTTGGTAGGCGATCTACTTGCTTCGCGAGGCGTTTCTGTTGAGCCACGTCTTGAACCTCTTAATGAAGGCCTAGAAATCTCCCGCATGATACCAGCTCGAGGACGACCAGTGGACCTTTTGAAGATTTCAGCCCCTTCAGCCCCTTCATCGCTTACAGATGCTCTTCGTTCTGTTCCGGAAGCCTCTTTCTTGATAACACTTCGAGGACGGCTGGAAGCTTTTTTGATAAATGCATTCCCTTCGTCGCTTATAATCGCTCTCCTTCCTGGCACCGGAGTATCATCCTGTGTGTCGAGATCTTCACGATGTTTTTGCAAGTGTGGAGTATTAGCTAGGGTCTTGTGTTTATCGAGGCGATTCGTCGTTATCTCTGTCGATAACTTGGACAATGGTATTACCGACCGTACTTCTGGAGCTACAGACTGCGGTGTTGGATAGGCGGTGATTTTCGTCGGCGAAGAGCTTGAAAGAAGATTCTCGAGAAGATCCGCGGAGTGAATGCGTCCTTTCCCAGCAGCCACGGGGGTTTTTGCGGGACTGGTTGACTCTCCATCCTCGAGTATTTCCTCCACTCCTCGAACGCTAGCACTTAGTTTTCGTTGCCGTTTAGTCGGTAGATTAGGGTCCACTGTATTTGGAAGAATACGGTTGGTACTGAGTGGTCGTAGAGGTTTGCCAACTGAGCTTTTGCCTCTCTTACTCGCTGGCGTAATCATTGTCCTTCCTGGCTGCCCAATGGTGGCAGGTGTAGGGACTTGGTTTTGCTCGTTCATATTGCCATCTAGTAACATCTCATCGCTCACCGCATTCTCAACTCGATTTTCATGGTCTTCGATGTATGGTATGAATGCTCGACGGCGCTTTCTTGGTGTGACAACCTTGTCACCAATGTCATCTAAATCAAGACTTTCGCTTGCATGAAGAATTCTAGCTGTGATAGGACTACTTAACTCAAGTTCCTCTAATTTAACCTTAGGTAAAGGCGTTCGTTGTGATTCACGCTCGTTCCTTTTTCTTTTCCTCACCGGGCGAGCAGATATGAACTCTGGGGCATCGTCGGATGATGGTATCTTAGGTGTCTCTATTCTTGGCTCACCGACAGTAGCAATCACCCTACTACCAGATGGTGAGGATTCTGGATCCTGAGTAGAACTCGAATTACATGGTTCAATAGGCAGAAACTGAGTTTCTCCGACGCTAGTCACATGCTGGGATCTTCGCACATGCCTTGGAAGTTGCGGGGATTCATGATCCACTTCCTCATTTCGACCATGTTCATGCCCATGATCATCCACGTCGAACTGTCGATTATTATCATCCGATGGAAGATCTTTTGTAGGACTCGTTACATGAACTTCGGTCGGCTGAGGAGCGACATCAACATGTCCTTGGTTGTTAGGTATTGTAGGCTTTCTTCCTTCCAAATCTTGCGACTTCGACCTCGACTTCCGGGTTCTTTGCGCTTGTACTTCAGTTCCATCATCTTTGTCCGTATGTGATATATGCTGCTCGTTGTTCCACGCTTCCCATCGACGTAATTGTGCATTCTTCTCTCGCAGGATTTCGGCATATTTATCTGCTCTTTCCTTCTGCATCAACCATTGTTCTTTGATGCGCTTGCGCTCGTTGTCGAGTTCCCTATAATTCGATTGCCGGCCCATCGAAGGTATTTGTCCGTTATCAGATGAACTTGATCTCTCATTATCGGTACTAACAAGCTCAGCATCTCTTGCTCGTATGGCCGCATTGCCTAATTCCTTCGATAACTTTTTGTTCTGCTCCTCAAGACCTTCCACCCTCGAATTCACATTCTGGTATTTCTTCAATTCCTCCAGAAGATGCATGTTCTCCTCTTCAAGTTTATCTGCCCTGGTTACCGCATTTTGATTCGTTCGAAGCTCCTCCTTGAGCCTTGACACATCTTCCTCCAGAATCTTAATTCTCAATCCCTTATCTTGTAGCGAATTCTCGTTCGATCGGATCTGGGGAGCATGTTCTTCGTTATCGATTTTGAACAAATTTGCCTTCAGACGCAATTTTTCCAATTCATCCTTTCGAATAATTGTATTATCTCCATTCACGAGTTCTGCGGGGCAAACATGATAAGCAAACAATCCCAATCAATCAAGAGGTTGACCTTACCATTGTCAAGATTCTGCTCGATATTATTGCAGATATTGGTCAATTGTTCGAACAATTCGCGTCTGCCATTCCTCCAATGCTCCATTTTTACAGCTGGTGCTGAATTTTAAGTTCATCGCGGTTGTGAAGTGAAGTGTTGAAGTGGCGCGTCGCGTTGTCAAGTTACTTTTACGTCAGTAATTTTGGCGTGGCACGGGCTCGGTTCGGCCGCTGTATAGGCAGGCAGAACCCAACTTCACTCCCGAGACCCCGGATCTTGTCGTGGTAATTTATTAACAAGAATCATCACGACTGATTCGCCGGGTAAACAATCCTTCAATTGCGTTAATTGAATCCAAATGTTGGCTTGTTTTTGTTAGATATTTATCGCAAAACAATGGTCTCACGACATACTCTCGGTTTCTCTCGCGAACGGGGGGAAACCTCTTGCTCACACTTTTGTGTAAAGGCATTGACGGATTTGTTTGGTAAACTGCCCACGGCCTTATTTTCAAAAGAAAAGAATTGACAGTTTTGTCATTCTTCACGATGAACATGTGGGTGAAGGCAGTCATAAAAATGGCTGGGTAGAGAGGGTTCAAGCAGTCTTGTGTCTGTGTCGCAGTCAGTGGATTGAGATACAAAAGAATTTCTAAACTTGGGGAACTTATGTCTCTCAAATATTGCTGGGTCTCCATCATTGTTCCTAGGTTTGATCTGGCACCAAATCGGGCCTGAATGTCTGTTGCTGAGAAGTGACTTCGCCACACTCAAGCACACCATCACTATTTCCTGCTCCCACTTTTCGTTGCGAAGATCCTGCGGGTTTGTATTGAACGCCTTTTTATCAAGTGAAGAAATGTGTAAAGTCCCGCAAACTCAAGTTTAGTTGGCGCAAGTACTGTGGATATGAGGAATTCCCCATAGTGAGTTAGCCATGTTCTCGTGAACCCAAAAGTACTGGTTCCTAAGCTACCTTGCGAGGACATCAAGCGCCTTGCTTAAGAAACCCTGGTACTTCCACCTCATTTCCTTGTCTCGTGAGTGTGTGAGCCCCGCGTAGGGCTTTTGAGTATGCCTTTCACCTGCGAGCGGTTCCTGTGATCTGGGCTGATTAGCGAGAATTCTTCAACTTGCACTGCTGTGTGGAATCATCATTCTATATCTCTTGGGATTTAATTAACGGCGAGTAATTGCGGTATCACGATAGTCTTCAATTCTAAACTTGACTTTGAAATCAGGAGGACCGTAGGACTTGTTGCTCGGGCGTGGCTGCGTCGAGAAAAAACCTCAATGGCTTAGGGCTGTTCCCGCAACTCGTCGAAACCCTCACGTTGTAACGCATTTACCACATGATCTTCGTTTTTACTTATCAAAATTACAAAAGCGACAGTCTTAAAATTCTATCCAGCCCTCCCTTTTCTTTCTGTGAGGTCAAGCAACATACAATATTGAATCGCTGATTGCAACAGAGTGCCCCAGTTACGCACATATCCGTAAATTCCGGCACAAGTCTTAGGATATGATGTAGACAGCCCTTACCACTGTGGTAGATCTGTGAGTCAGCTCTCGATATTTCTCTTTTGGGGTGATTTATTATTTCATTTCGGGTAGATAGCGCAAGATCGAGCTTTGCGACAGAAAATTCTCAAACTCCTGGAAAGATAATTTGTTCCTGGCCCGTACAGCGCTTTTCTCTTGTCTTTTTGCTCGGGTTTTGGGATGATTCCGCTTCCACAACTACTTGATCACTTTTCGTTTTGATTTTTACTGACTGCATATCTTATTCTACTTCGGCGTGCTTAACGAGTGATGATTATTTTACGATGCTTCACATAATTAAAACTGGCATCAAGTATGCAATCCAAGTCTAATATACAGAAACCTACCTCGAGGACCAAGATCAGTCGTTAAGGTGTCGCCAATTCCGACAATTATATCCATTCGCGACAATTAATAGATAGAATTTCTCGTAATGAATTTATTCACTAATAGGCAGTGGATGTTGGCTTTGATGCCGTCAGGGTTTGACCTTCGATCACCAGTTCTGAGACAAGAACGACAGACTGCAAGCTTACAGTGGCAGTTGTTACTAGCCTTTTTGCTGTGGATACGTCTCAGCAACCCCCATTCGACGCAAGTGTACATCCTCCAGAGGTAGTTGAACTAAGTGTGATGTTTCTCACTCTGGTCTGAAGGCTGGTAGTGCCGGGTAAGCTGGGTGGCGAGAGATTAACTGCGCAATCTGCTCCAACTGCATCAGTTCCCCACTCAGTGGCTGAAAATAACTTGCACCATTGCTGTCCGGTCGTCTCGTTTGTATTGATTGTAACAGCATAACACGAATCATTGGGCTCATCATTACTGCTGTTGGATCCTCCTGTGTTATGATCTAAACATGCTTCCATACAACCATCCATATTGGCTATAGAATCAGGTATTGCAAACTGCATAAGACGTACACTCGAAGGTACATCGAAAGTTCGATTGCAAAATAGTCGGAAGTTCGTGGGTACTGTATCCTGATGGGATGTTACTAGAAATATAGAGTTGTTGTTTGCCCCTGAATCAATCTGGCATGGCGATGTAATGTTTGAGCTCTCTGTGTGGCTATGCCTAGTATCCATAGGTTAGCGATAGTTGCGCAAAACCTCACAGATAATTGTTACTTTGAATGATTATTTTTGTTCTTATCTTTCATACCGCCGGCAATTCCACCCCCAATTCCAGCAGCCAGAAGAGCCACAATGACCACCATAAAGATCCAGAACCACATGACGCTCACTCCCAAGATTCTACGATAACTTCTTAGGAATTGTCGGTTTCCTTCCAGCTCCGCCACAATTTCTCGCTGTGTGAGCGCCGCCTCGTATTTTGTTTGTGCCTCCCAATCAACCTGCAGCCCATCCTGATGGCTGATAGGTCTCGGACGCCCAACCTCAAGACCAGCTTCGAGCGGAACAGGAATTGGAGACTCCATCATCCTACACAACTTCTCAGACATTATTGATCAATTGATACTATAAAGAAAGCATATATAAGAGATCTTAGAAGTTTCTAAGTAAGAGAAAGGTGGAAAATCAAGGCGGACGAAGTGCGGAGAAGTAGCTAGGTACTAATGGAGAATTTTCAAGTGCCATAACGCTGTAATTTGCGAGTGCTATGTGATAGTGGAAGCCTGGGAAAGCAGCAACATGAGGCGTAGTGAGTAAGTTATTTATACTCGAGGGTGTGCTACTCCTTTAATACAGATGTTGGAAGTCTTTCGTACCTGCAGCAGAAAAAATCATGCGAGTGGTGGAAAGCGAAAGAAGGTTTGGGTAATGTACTCTTTGGGTAAAATAGAACTTATGAAAGCCGTTTTCCATGGTTTCGATGATGGATATGATAAAAATGGGTGTATTGTAGGGCCACGCCGCAATCCTACAGGTTCTCCATCATTATGTCACAGTTTGCGACGGGGTTGCAGAAATGGCATAATTATTGTGAAAGATTTGTCAGGGTGATTCCTTTACATTTTATAGAAAATGTTCCAATAACCTAACTTGAGTCAATTGATCTCTTGGCCAATCAAAATTTTATTACAAATAAGCAAACTAGTGCGCAATGATTGTTCTAGCTACTTACATTGTAGCAATCTGGTCTTCGTTCAAAAAGTCACTTCAACAAGTCACGCCGCACACCTCAAACACCAACACGAGGGATTCGCTGCAACCCTACATAACTGTCAGTACACCCACCCATGTACTTATTCAGCACGTGAGAGAATAAATCCATCCCTCCAAAAGGAAAAAACTCGGTCGTAGTCTGTTGCTTGCTTCAGTTTGTGCAAGGTACCGTCACACCCAAATATAAAACTGAGCTTTACTTTTTAGAAAATGGTCTGATTAGTTTTCTTTCTAGGTATTATGAAAAAGTATAAGAACTCTGCATAGTCGAACACTCACAAACTTAACCATGACACAAAACTCAAACAGCCCAATGTACGGCGAGATTCTGATACAAATTCCAAGGAAATGGAAGGCACATCGTGATTACACTCGGCGGTTTATGGAACGTAAAGATGAAAAGGTCTTCTTTCCATATCCTCTACGCATACTCAGAGCTTAGCTCATTGATACGTAGGATATCGTATAAAACTCCAAGAGGAAATGTAGGGATGCTATCGAGGACCCGTGTGGGCCACATCATTTACATTACAAGCCAAGCAGACAACTTCATCTTTATCACTGCAATATTCCTATGCTGACTGAATTAACTTCGAATCGCGGTGAAAATTTTCAGAGAACTGCTAGGAATGTCTAGGTGCATTCTTTTGCTTCTTAAGTTCTTCCTTCCTTGGTTTTGTGATTGCTGAAAAGTATTTATTTCCGCGAAAAAAAAAGATCTTGGACGTTGGTGATTATGATCCTTGTAAACGATTTCAACCTTGATATATATCATCGGAACACACTCTCCTAATAAAACAAACTTCAATAGATTGGTTGTTCGGTCTAAAAATATCACTAAAGTGTCACATAAGGTATCTAGAATATTAGTAACCTACAAATTTTTCTAAGTGATTGTGCTATGACTTGGACGTATTTCTCGATCCCCAACAGACCAGAAGTCTCCCGCCAGATGAAAAGCGCGAATGGACTGATATCTAAGAGCATAAATTGGATTCGTTACTACAGATTATATTTTTTCTTCACAATATCCACTCAAGATCTTAGGTTGCAAATCTACAACTCACGTGTGCCTTGACAATGCCAAATTTACAGGGTTTCGAGACTAGGTATTGTCTATCAGAGCAATTCAACCTAACAAATGGAACCAAATGTTGCACGTCTGAATTCAAAGCCACGTGCGATAGTGTCTGATTAAATGTGAAGGCCTAATGTTACACGTCTACAGAAAAGCGGCGTGGAAATTCTCATTGACCGAGGGTAAGACGTTCTTCCACATTTATATCTGCTGGCCTGCAATATTCCAAAAACGGCACCACCGGGCGAAGCTTGTATATATTAATATCTCATGTTCGAATCAAGCCACACATAGAGCCAATGACACAGTCTTGACTCAAAGCCATAAACAAAGGGTTCTAAGCTACCCGCCAACTTCTTACCTCTGATTTCATCTCTTCCTGCCTCCCGAATAAGCCGCTTCATTTATCGGCCGATCCAAAGCTTTACAATACGGCAACGTCGCATGTCTTGCTTTCTGACGGTTGAACTAAATTCTGCACGGGTCATGCTAGCCTACCTACTTCTTGCAAATTCAGGTGACTCCTTTTGATCATGTTACATGTCTGATCATCACAACACTTTTTTCAGCTTTGTTGCATATCTTAAAATCTGGTGGCTTGGAATCAAAGCCTGGAAGGTAATCATTTTATGATGAACTCTCAAATTCACTTTCATTGTAATACCGTGATTGAGGTTTCTCTTTGTGGCATTTCAGCACCTAAGTAATCAAAATGATTTTTCATTTCAACATTTTATTTTTTGTAACAAATACCATCTCTAATGAGACATTCACAGCTTCTTACAGATGACTTTTCTACAAAGTTGAAGGCACCATTCATCAGGGGTCGAAGCGACTTTACGCGACAGACGCTCGGACTCTTGTGCTCATATTTTGATAAAAATACCTACCTATAATATACCAATCATCACAAAGCAACATTAGCTCTTTCCAAGAATTGCTATTTTCCTGTCAATTTCAACCTAATGAAAGTAGTATATATGACACTAAGATCAACACAGCCTTGAAATTCGAGAAAAAGCGGGGAAGTAAACAAAAAACAGGTCTCCGAGGTATATCAATTGCATACGGAATGGCCTATACTGGTATTCCAATATTACCATCATGTAGATGTAGGTACCCAACGTGAATTATTCTTAACGTGCTCAATTGTGATTTCGAGATGTTCCTGGATGCCGCATCGACCGATTTCGTGTCTCCATAAAGGTTTCACGCCGTGCCGTACTTTCTATACCCTCGCACATCACAATTATCAATATACCTCAAAGATGTCAATTAGTTTTTCTGTTAGAACTTAAGATTGAAAAATGAAGTCTTCATGAGCATACGAGATTGAGTAAATTGGCACCGAACAATTGACAATAGGCTAATTTCGAGTTCTGCAAACATACTTCGGGTCCTTTTAAACACAGGAAGTTGGTCCAATGTGGTTCAAACAACGCCTGTAGTAGATGTAGTAAGCTTAACATCAATTTATCTTCCATAGATCTGGCTTGATTAATTGTGTATAGAGCGACCGTTTTTGCTATGCTACTTGAGGATGCAGTTTGGCAGTAATGCAACTCTTGATTCATTCCCAACCATTCTGCAGAGGAATAAATGGGTTAAAAGCAGCTATACCGCTTTAAGACATGCAATAACACATTCAAAAGTCACGAGCATCTTTCTCTATTGGTTTAGATGTTATTTCTACCACTTCCTTCTGCGGCCGGGCTAGTCTTAGGATTTATCCGATGATAGCCGCAACATCTTACGATATGCAACATTATTACTTAAAAGTCACGAGTACTCTCTATCATTGGCTATTCAAAAGTTCTACCTTCTACAGGCAAAGCCGCTACAGACACTTGCTCATAGCTTTGAAGTGTGCAGAGTGACCAAATGTCCGTATTAGACTACAAAATATTCTTTTCAACGGAGAATTATGAGCCTCATGTCAAAGGACATGTACAATAGTATTGATTCAAACTATCTATATCATCAAGGATTCCCAATTGTCGTGGCTATAGATGATACGACGGGTGATAGCAGATCGGGAAAACTAAGATCAATGGGAAATTATATATATTTCTTTAGAAACAAGTCAGGAATTCTGGTGAAACCTCATAGATGAAGTTACTCGTGGGTTTTCAGATCGAATAACTTTGAATCTTTGTGGGATATTTCTATCTTCTGTCGGTATAATTACATATCAGGCTTCGATTCTTGAGAATATCTATTCCGTGATATTTCGGTTTTATTTAGGGACAGGAACAGTTAAAGGCACAAGATTAGAAGACATGCCCGCTAATCATCAGTAAAAAACAATACAAAAGTAAAGAGATGGAAAGAAGACGCGATTCCCCCATCTTGTTGTGTGACTGTTCATTTCTGTCATTACCAGCTTCTTTATAAAGTAACCCACCGCTTTAAGACATGCAACAAGAATACCAAACGGCAGGAGCTACTCATTCTATCGGGTGCAAACTCTTTGAGTCAAGGTTCCCAAAAAATAAACCCCTCCCTCCACAACTTTATGGCATGCAACATTTGAGTCTAGATTTCCGGATCACCCCTTCTATTGGTCACAACCTTCCCTTTCTCCCGTGGTCAAAAGAGCAGAATCCATGATATTGCCAGAACATATTTTGATCCACCGCTTTACGACATGCAACATAAAGATTTGAAAATGAATACCCTCCCCACCCATTGGTCCAAATCCATGTAATACCCGATTTACTTTTGGTGACTTTACTTCCACCGCTTTACGATGTGCAACAAAATTTAACTCTATCCTGGTTCAACAGCATAGTATCTTCTTGTACGACTTTTGTTAATTCGCAACCTCAAACAGGGGTATACAGATGATAATTGAGGAATTTTTGCTTTCTATAGGCGGACTTCTACCCGTAGAACTTGTACGCATTATTTTTCAAAAAGTTACAGACTTTCTCGCATTTTTACACACGCTATTAACACATCGCGACATTTTTATAGCGAGAAATCTTATTCTGCCTGCGACTATATGCCCAGATAGGTGATTATAATTGGAGTTCCTCACAGTTATCTCATAAGCAAACCTCAAATTCGACCAACAGACATTGACCACTCGAAGCGAGAAAATCCCCTTTATCTGATTAGCCTATGACCTTTCACTAGCGTCTGAGTACATAACATGACAGCAGATGTCAAATTGTTAAACTTTCCACCTTGACCCTAGGAAGTCCACAATGAAGATTTCCTACAACTTAAAACCGCAATAATTAATTATTTCATTAATTCTTCTACAAAGTACATCAAATAAATTTACACTTCGCCTCCGAATGTCGTATCTATAAGATCTTCCGACAATCGTCGCAGGTAAGAAAGGATATCAAAATAAAAACAAATCACGACGAATTTTCAAATTCACCCACTCATTAAACTTTGGCCAACAGAAAATATGCCAACTTTCTTTAAAGGAAACTCCGAAAATTCAGATGAAATATTACATTGGCAAAATATTAGAGAAATTAATCTTAGCCAATGATAGCTTTGCCAGCTTTTGACCTTTTGGATCTACGGCCATATTGATGCCATAATGAGGTGACTAACACTCGTATTTTCAAGCAAATAAGGCTAAGAAGAAAATAATAGAACCTTGATAACGAAACCCCTTCTCAACCCCGGAGATGCTGAGTTAACACACGGACTTCAGCGCCGCTAGACATAGGCATGGAAGGCGGGACTTGCCGACCAGTGTATAGCCTCAACTCGGTATTAACAATTCTACACCTCTTCCACTTCTTCCACCTCCTCCACCTCTACAATCTGAACATTCACACCGTCCACATTGAAACTCAACATACTGGTATCGATATCATCATCTTTCGATAAACCACGCGCATCGGGAATTTCCCCCCACTTCAAGACTATCGTGGTTTACACGGGGGAAAACTCTACTTTGTGGAGATCATCCGTGCTTCAAAACTATGCTGAGGGGCCGATGGGTCGATGATCTGCGGACGGGATAGCTTTTCTAGTCCCTCGAGAAGTGCTTCATTTTGTTCGAAATCATTCCAAGCAAGCTTAATTCTATCGTCAGTGACCAATCAAACAATCAAAGTAAACCGAAAGAAAATTCTTCTTGGTTAGTACTCCGTACTAACAACTAACAAACACACACGCACGAACCTCTCCTCAATTTCTTGATGGTAGGCAATACATTTGGAATTCCGGGATCGTGGAACGGAAATGTAACAGGGATTTTCCGGTCCAGTGATGAAATGGCAGTTCCAAGAATAGGATGGAAAAGAAATGTCTTAAAGTCCGGATGTCCATAAATCTTTCTCTGTGCATCGCGTGTCCCCTGGCGCTTTGCTTTAATGTTGGGGTGCATATGAAGATCTTCCATTCAATATCGATAATACTATGTAAGATACCAGATAGTCGGAATTTGATTCGGAATGGCGGAAAGTAATGCATGGCAGCTCTATGTAGCTGTGTGTGTGTGTTACCCTTCGGCATTTATCGGGGTGTCATTAAGAACTTATGTCAGGTACTTCATGCAGAGAGTTATGGGGTGGGATGATTGGTTGATGATACTCAGTTTGGTGTGTAAATATACAGTTGTTTCAATTGAAAAGAAAAGTTGATAGCTAATTGAATATGGAACAATAGGCCGTTTATACCATGTACACGAGTTTCGTTTCAGTAGGACTATATTATGGAACCGGACGACATCAAGAAGATCTGGATGAAAGTGATTTCCTATGGGCGATTCGAGTAGGTTCCTCCCCCGTGTGGAATATGAACCATCATTCAATTGGGAATTTGACTAACTTATTAAAAGTACTGGTACTTCAGTGAATGGGCCTATGTCGTGACGATGACTATAATAAAAACTGCCATCGCCCTTTTCTACCTCCGAATTATGGTTATCCCCTGGCATCGAGTCGCTGTAAAAGTCATTATGTGGATTGTGATAGTCTTCGGATTTGCATATTTCTGGTGCGTGGTTATACAATGCTGGCCTATACCTTTCATCTGGGAGCGATATGCTACGACTCCTGGTAGAAGTACTGGAAATTGTTTGCCTAGAGGAATTGTTTTGGGTGGAACGTATCTGCATAGTATTATAAGTGCGGGAAGTGATTGGGCATTGGCCTTACTGCCAATTGTTATGTTGTGGAATGTGCAGATGCCGACTGGTATAAGACTTATTGTTGGGGGAATTGTGGGGTGTGGTGCTATGTGCGTTCATCCTTCTTTATCTTGCCTTCTCTCCTTCCTATCATCATACCTCGCGAACAGACAGCTAATACCACATGCCACACAGTGCTAGCACAGCGACCATCATTCGTATTCCCACTGTTTCAAGTATATTGAATGCTGATGATTTCCTCTTCAAAAGCATCCCCTTAGCCGTCTGGTCGACCGTTGAACCTGGAATGGCCATATTCGCCGCATCTCTGGCTACTCTCCGGCCACTACTTCGGAGAATCTTCCCCAATCATTTTCGGAACGCAGGAATCCCATCACTACCATCATTACGAATCCCCACAAGTCCTGCAAGAAAAAAACAACCGTCAGATGATGTCGAGATGGGAATTAACACGACATGCTACAGCGAGCCAAGACCTGAACAGACTGCAGGAGAAAGCTTGGAGACAATACAAATTCATTTGGATGACCGGATTGAGGTTGATAGAAGTACAAGTAAATCAATGACATTTCACGAGGAGTCTTCAGGTCTTAATTTGAGATCAAAGGGGAGTGATGACGAAATGATGGAATTGTCGCATACCTCTCGGGGAGCATCTCTACGTCTCGCACCATTAGTTTTCTCTCCAACATGTCTCACGCACACAATTCCTTCGCCATCAACGCTTTCGCCTTCACATGTCGCGTCGTGTATGAGGGACAGTCAGTACAATAGGGATTCCAAGGTAGTCATACCGTCTTCACCTATATAAAGCTGTTTCAAAATCTTTACGCAATTGAAAAAGATCAAAGCTGGGTGTGAGTAGATTCTTGCACTCAATTATACATCAACCAATCCGATCTAGGATAGACATCTAGGCATCGGACATGGGATGTAACATCAGACGAGTCCCAAATCAATCGAAAGACACTCCGATGAGGTGCCAAACGCTGTCTTGTGACACATTTAATCCCTAGAGATACAACAAAGATAATATCAAAATGAGAATCGGAGGTGGGGATACAAGAGTAGCAAACAAAATCAGGATTCCGTCTTCCACGCAACGTAGATGGGGATTTATTGGAGGCCCTTTCTGCAGCACGCCCATTGTTTCTCGCAGACTACACAGTCCCATTTTGACTTACCTTTCGCCAATTTTTTGGAAAAGCGCGTCGATTATTTTGCGGCAATCTGGTTTAAACGATAATAAAATAGATTTGACAAATCAATCCTGCACTGCAGCATGGACATGGGTTTTGCGGATTAGGTGGAAGACTGTGTAAACGAAATAGGTTCAAGAGAGGAAGAGCATGGTCGGTGAGGCTTAATGGTGTAACTAAAAGCGATCGGACCCAAGAAAGAGCACAAACAAGGTATGATGTTGGGAATTTGTCACAATTGCGTCGCATGAGGTTCAGCCCTCGGGAATGGGGTTGAAACGGTAAGAGTCTAGGCCTCAACTTATTTGATGGTTTATGATTACATTTTATCAAGATATAAAATGTATTAATATGAGAACAATGAACCAGATTGCTTCCGAGGGAACAGTTGTAACATGTTGTGATGCAAGATCGTTGGCCGTGCTACTAACCCCGCATACACCAACTGTGCCGGGTATGACTGCCTAGTACACGATGAATGTCTCAGTGAAAATCAAACTGGATGGCAACCACTTAAATAGTCCAATGAACGAGCGTTTTTATCATTTTATCATCATCGCGGCCCCATTCCCTTGTCAAGTTACTTATTTGATCTCGTTTCAGGAGTATGCACGCTCACTTGGAGGCGTTTACAAGAAGAAATCCTTCAAGCCATCACTCATCCCATCTGTTTCACCCTTCTTCCCTTTTTCTAGTATAGCAAGTGCCTCTTTGATTGGAACCCTCACAGTCTTGACATCATCGATAGGCAAATCGAGTAGTTCATCTCGAGTTCGGTCCCACAAGTTTCCATCCCATTTTCTACGGACAAGCAACAACCCCGTCTTAGTCACTTCATCACCATCTATACAAATGAAAAACGTCTTATCAAGACCCTCAACGAACCGCTTTTCACGACAAAACCAAGGAAATCGTTTCACAGCCTCATCATAACTCCATTTGATCTGCTCCAAGCCATGACCTGGCCGCTTGATCACTTGAGGCGCATAAACCAATCTCTCCTCTCCAGGACTCCGCTTTGCGGCTTCAGAATCAATTGATTCAGCACAAAAGCCAAGCTCTTTTCCATGTGTGTTGTACTGGAAGGCAATAAAGACTGCCTGCTCGCGCACACTTTCCGATGGCCAATCAGCATCACCATTAGCCAAGATTAGGAAACGTGTCTGAAGACCATCGTTGCAGGAATACGGAATGCGGATGTGCGGAGGGGTAGTAAATGTTCCTTTCCCGATGCCGCGCGATTCTTTGTTTCCTGTCGTTTCTAAGTGGCTTCCGTCCCACGATGGTAATTTAACCATCAGCATGCCGTTTTCATCAGGGTTTGCCGTGTCGATGACCAGAACGTGAGTTTTGTGCAGCCATCTGTTCTTCGAACAGCGCTGCGGATGGAGGATAGCGGCCTGTTGGATGAGATCCCGAGTAGATGTTGGGCTAGAGGTGGAGAATGGAGGTGTGAGTTTGGCTTGAACGCGGCAGGCCAAGTCCTCTGGCGACTTGTGTTTGAACCCTGGCTCTAGCTTGGCAACAACATCTTCTTCAGACAAACTTGAGTGGATATAAATGGGAATGTAGTAGCCTAGAGGAATATTTTTGATTGGTGCTGGTGGACCGTCATTATTATCAACATCATCGTCGTTCTCATTTTTGTCGAATTTATCGTCTTCGTCGTTTCCTTCGTCGGAACGAAGCCCAGTGAAATCTTTCAATTCGTCCCAACCCATATTCGCAATTTGTAGGTTTGCGATATTTAAGCCGGAATCGGCAGCTTTGGTACGAAAGGAATCAACATTACAATTAGAGTCGTCGGCATCCATCTTGTCCAGTGTGACTAGTATGACTCCTTTGCTTCTCCATTCTTTTTCGACAACGGCGATAAAGTAAAAAGGCTCAAAGATGTTTTGCGCTACCAAATCGATGTGATAATCAAATACAGCACGCAAAGGCTGGCCGACGAATCGCGATTGCGGAGCGAGACGAACGGAAGTACCCCGATCACTCTCACGTTCGACGCACCTACTTTCGCACTCGCGTTGACAGTCTTCAAATTCTGCATCGGTCAAATCGACGAGAGTATACAGGGCTGTTGGAGGTAAATTAAGTGTGTGCTCACGATAACGTGCCATTGACGGCGCCGTTGATGGTAGCGAAAGATCTGGCTCATTAGACATGGTGATTTAAATTCTGATTGAATGGCGGCAACGGTGATTGTTTGAGGTTTGGAGTAGTATTTACTACAAGAAATTGTTAAATAAACAGGTAGAATTGGCTTGATAGCTTGGAAAAAGGTAAGGAGGCAATGGTGTAAGGTGAAAACTGCTTGAAGTTTTGTTTATCTTCGATGTACTGCAACTACTTTCATAGCAAATGTGTCAGAGTATGTAGTCGTCCTACCCACACAGGTAAACATTCCAATTACATAAGCGATCGCTTCACTTGTGCCACCACTGACGTCAATTGAACCAGTCAGCGTAATATTTCGAATCCTTTGCGGCACGACAGGCATGTTTTACGCCCCAACGTCAAGGGCTCTTCAATTGAGCCCCCGAATAATAAGACGATAGCGATTGGCGGTAGCATGTCTCTAAAACACACTTCGGCAAATTGATATGATGTGAGTTATCAAAGTGTAATATAATGTCGTCATTTACTACTTGTTTCAATTCTCCGCAAAGTATTAGGACTCATACCGTCAGCAGTCACTTACGTGATGACCCCCAGTATTTTTTGATCGTCGTGAAATATAATATGCCTTTCAGCTCCAGATATATGCAGCAAAAAGTGCTGATGGCAATCCTTTGGGCTCTGCAAGTGAATGCGATCTCGATTACTTGCGTGCCATTTATAGAAGCATAAGATGACTGTTTAACAGCAAGAGTAAAGATCTTCGATATTTACAGCATGAGAACATGGCTGAAGCACCCCAGATTTTATGCACTACAGCGTACCTGGAATATTCCGAGCCAATATATTATGTCTACTAAAAAAAGTGTACCACAGCCTTGCAAATCCTGAGAAGCGGGGGCTAAAGATGATGGTAGTCATGAGGTCATAATTCATGGGGAAAATTGAGTCTGTACGAAGGTTGCACGATCTTTCCAGTTCTTGTTCTGTAAGATTTGTCGGTTTTAGTCTGTACCGAATCTCTCGAACATTTGAGCCGATCCAAATTGGCGTGCCCCTGTTCTTAACTGTTCCACAAGCCGAGGAAGGAAGACTATTGTAAGAATGTAGCCTATGTTTTGTCAAATGGGTTATGCTTATGAGCCTCAGCTTCTTTTGGTATTCAAGGTGATAGTAACGCATGTATACCTCAACCATCACTTTTTGTGCCTGCATCCTTCGGATAGTCCAGGCACAGGGAAGTTCAACAGTAGCAGAGACGTTGACACCGACGCCCGTGGCAAGCATAGCTTAGATTGTTCCCTTTGCCGGCAATTAAACTTGTCAGCTTTGCAATAACACTTGATGCTACCCACCCGAAACCGTACTCGATCTGATCAACAACTTGCGAAAACCATTTCGTCAAACTCACCATGCTCCATTTTAGCTAAAACCTCGCACTCGTGTGTATCATGTCAAGAACCCGGTGATCATTCGTTTAATTCGCATCACTTGAGATATCTTGACGCTGCAACCTTCGGTCTAAGTGCGAAGGATTGAATCATCTTACGACAGCAAGGCACAGAGAGATGACGGATGTTGTGGAGGCGATGAACATAGCGACGATTGCCCAAGTATTAATATAGAATTTTGGTCTAAGCACGACTCAGATATTGGCACAGCAAATCTATAAAGATGTGCTGTCGTCGCTTGTGTCAAGTCCAGTCCGAAAACATTATCCTACAGCTTCACCCAACAAACACCCAGATACAACAAACACAATACCTTAGTATCCGCACTTCTCTTTCTTCGGAAACTATCCATCATCATGAAGAATGTTAGCCTAATTGCTTCATTCCTTGCCCTTGCCGCGGTAACATCTGCCATTGGCACCCCTGATACAAATCTCGAAGTTCGCGCGGACCCCGATGATCTTATGATCTTTGTGTGCAATGACGGCTTGGACGAGATATGCACTAACATGTGTTATGGTAACTATACTCTTTTCTCTTGTTATTTAACCCTTCCCTTTCCATGAATTCCCTAGTTGACACTGTTAATCACAGGAGCTTTCTGCGCCGGAATAGGCGAAAGTTTGCAATACGACAAACCTGACTCGTCCACAAAGCGTAACCGCCGTAAAGCTGCCGGTTGCATTGCTTCAGGTGGTAATCGCTGTTCAGTCAAAAAGGGCCACGCTTCTGGATTTCAATGCGATGAATATCCATTCGCGTCGTCAGTTCCTAGCAATGGTGCTACAACACGACTCAACCGTTGTGTGCCGGCCGCTCAGAATCGTAAGCAAGGCGGAATCATCAGCGCTTTTTACAAGAGCAGTTACTGCACGGGTAACAATGGTGGAAAGTGTACATTCACGGCCAAATTTTCTAATTCTGGGGATATTGGGTACTGTAACTCAGAAGAATGTGATGCTGATGACGATAACGAGGTCATTGGTCCCGGTGGTACAGCGAATAATGGCGACTCGGCTGAAGATGGAACGGACAATGATCCAGACGCAGGTCAGAAGATGAAGATGAAGATCAAGAGACGCAATGGCCTTGGCAAGAGACTTCCTGGTGCGCCTGTATATCGTACAAGCTCAGGTTTAGAGCTGGATATCCCCGGCGGTGCTGTGATAGGACAGCGAGCTTTTGTTGTCTTGCCACGTAATGCGACAATGTGGGATGAGCAAGCTCAATTTGGAAACCCTAAGCAAGTGAGAGAGTTCCATGGCGACGAAGATGAAGATGAGGATGAGGAGGATTATGACTACATGTTGGCGAATTTGGATATCAGAGAAGACACAATTGTCGAGGAGATTGTTTCGGCTGTCTGAGTTCAAGGAGATTTGTTTGTATGAAATTATTGTAGCCAGGGTTTGAGAGAAGTTTATAGAAGTGTAGCACCGATGAGGAATAATCAAGCTTTCTTTAATTATTTTCACTGGATGTAGTGATCGATTAAGCTTGATGAACCAGTGGAAACGGGCATGGTAAGCTGGGGTTTAACATGCGTACCATGGTAGTTCGCACACAAATATTCGTCAGAACACATCGAATGGGGAGTAAACTTTGCTCACAACATATTGGTGAAGTTTTCTCAAAGGAACCTTGAAAAATGGACTGTCGAATATATGACAGGAAGGGGTCTCAAGTGGTTCTGAATTCAGAGAGGTGAGACCATGTTTACTAGCGTCGGAGAGCCCTTCTTCAAATCCCGATCCGAAGAATCACCGACAATTGAACAACTTTAGACAGAATTAGCATAACAAAAGCATTGTGACTCCATTTCACTCCAGAAACCACCGTGTATCATAACGCACTTTCGAAGGATATCTTGCCTTAAATTGCCTCATGAATATATGGCCTTTGATATGCAATGGATGATTCGAGAGCTAGAACCAGTGTTTGCTAGTCCTTGATTCCGCGCACACATGATGGCACATACCAATGACAAGTCCCTCGAGTTGAAGGACCAAACATTGAGAGTTCAGCCTCATTTGATTGTTCCTGAGTAAAGGCACGGCTCTGAAATTGTTGTGACAAAAATAAATGCCAAATACATCTCGAAGCTGGAAAATGGAAAATGGAATGATTCTCTGCTGTTGGAACCGAGTGTCATCGATATCTATGTAGGACGACATCTTACCTTCAAGTGGCCATTATAAGAAATGACCAAAATCTCAAGTGATGTTTGATCCGGAGCAATTACCCTTGATAATCTGACAATGTGGAGTATAAATTTCTTTCCAGCGCTTGCTGTCATTGAAGTACTCTTCTCTCATTGTTGTCCAAGTCATTGTGGTAAAAAGGAATGACTGCGGTGAATCACTACATTAATTCACAATCGCGCATGCGCACTTCTATTCGCACAGAGGGAGGTCGTAGGTCTTATTTGAATCACCTCGCTCTGATATTGAAAATACTGAAAGGTGACATCGACTTACCTAAACCGTTCATAATTGTGGTTGGCGGCTTGCGTCGTTCCGTTACGGAATTTAACCATACAATACTTCCCATCAAAAGCCCACTTGTCGAACTGTCAGAGTTTCACATCAACTGCGGGGTAGAACTTTCCTTCAACAACATAATCACTCGTAAACTCTACGTTAGTGAACTTAGAGTGCTCTTGCCATCTCTGATCTACTACTCTTCTTCCGAGTGAATTCCATGTTCGAGATATTCCGACCTGTTTCAGACTTCAACTTGTCATATGAAACTTATGGAACTTGTGCAGCGACGTCGGAGAATAGAGTGAATTCGTATTGTTAACTCCATTAACATCTCTCCTATTAAGTCAGCTGCCAGGTACATCTGTGATCGGATAGAGGGGGATTGGTTGTGAACCAATGTGCAATTTTTACCAAGCATTTCATGCTCCAAGTATTAAGGAAGAGAAATCCCCAGTTACTATTCAACAACAAACAAGATAGGAATCGTAGGGAGGCCTTTCCCAGATTTCTTATCATTAATTATAATCCTCGAACATCTTAAACGCAAAATTACCATCAGCGCACCTTAGAGATCATTACCAGTACATCAACAAAGTCATTGGCCGTGTTGAAATCGTGTTTCCGCATCCGAAAGTTTCAGCGGAAATTCCTCGTCTCATATGACCCCCTCGAATAAAATCATTTGCCGGTTTCGCTCTTCTCTTGATCCCGAGATACAAAACTAACCTGCTTTACCTTCCAGGGGTGGATCAAGATCCTCAACAATCACTTTATCAAATTCTCGCAGATTTCACTATTTAGGTATCCGACTTCTTCCACCAATTCAATTTTTACAAATCTGTCTTTCTGCAATCGTCGATGCACGCCGGTACAAAGGACATACAGGCAAGAACTTCTCAATCCTTTTAATTTGGCCTTTCCGCTTTGCCGCATAAAGTTCGATCACACTAAGAGGCAAGTACGACACCTTTAAAATACTCACAAAGATGGCAGGCTCTCTTGATATTGAAAAGAGTGTCGCGGAGCTTCCTGCTCATGTTGATGTCCTTCCGCCCACAATCTATCATCCTCCAGGACGAATACGTCGTGGACCACCTGCCAACGCCTATTATCCCAACGTGACCTCTTCAGTCTGCGATTCTACAATCAAAGAATGTAACCTCGAACCAAGCAGATTGCAAATCATGACCGACCACGACACAAACTCCCGACCCTCCTGCTTCTCAAACTGGGCTCAAGAATGGGCTTTCGTCTTTACGGTTATGCTGGCTTCGTCCTCCACAACCATCATCCAGGGTGTCGTACTCATCATGACCAACACGATTGGCCAAGGACTAAAAGCCTCTGCTCCTCAAGTAACCTGGATTGCAGCTGCAGTTGGGTAATTCTCCCATCCATATCTATACAGTCCACTCTCACAAACGTGGATCAAGCAGTAGGATGCTAACAATCAATTAGACTTGGCAGTGGTTCATTTATGCTCTTCTTCGGTAAAGTAGCGGATGAAATGGGTCGTAAGATTCAATTACTTATCGGATTGCTATTTATGAGTGCCTTCGCTCTCGTCGCCGCCTGGAGTCCCGGTCCATACGAACTAATCGTCGTCTGTGGTCTTCTTGGAATGTGCACAGCAGTAATTGCTCCACCAGCTCTCGGTATCCTCTTCGCCGCTTATCCAGAAGGTCGTCGAAGAAACCTGGCATGTGGTGCTCTTGGAACTGGTAATCCCGTCGGCTTCATTTTAGGAAGTGTTTCATCCGGTCTCGCCGTAAAATATTATGGATGGAGAGCGAGTTTTGTCGTCATGGCTATCTTCTTTTTTCTTTTGGTTATACTTGCTTTTTGGACGGTGCCGGTGATTACAAGAGTGGGTAACAGATCAGATGCGATTCGAAGATTCGATTATGCTGGTTCTATATTCATTGTTTTGGCTGTCGCTTTGATATCAGCAGGACTGACGTAAGTGATTAATCACATCCAATCCTGCACTTATGCTAATGACTTCACAGAGAAGGACCTCAAAGTGGTTGGCTATCAGTACACGTCGTTCTTTTACTTATATTTGGTATATTCTTCATTCTCGGTTTTATTGCCTGGGAATACTTTTACGAAAATCCCCTTCTCGATCTCTCGGTTTGGCGCAACGGCAACTTTAGTCTTTGTGTAATCTGTATGGGATTCGGATACATGTCATTCATCACAAACGAATTCTGGATCGCATTATACATGCAAGATGTACAACATTACATGCCATTACAAATTGCTGCTCGTATGTTGCCTCAAGCAGTGGCAGGAGTATTTTGGAGCTTCTTGGGACAATGGCTTATTCAAAAGGTGCATGGAACCATTGTGATGGGCATTGGATCTTTAATGTATCTCGCGGGGGCAAGTTTACTGCTGTTCATCAAGGAAGATACATCATATTGGTTATTTCTATTTCCAGCGCTTGTCATTACAGTCATTGGTGCGGATTTTCAATTCATCGTCGCGAATGTAAGTTTTCTTTCCTACCTTTTCCTTTCCATTACTTTTTTTCTTCCTCTCTCCTGGTATCGACCCATCCATCTCTGACAAAAGCAGCTCTACGCAAATAAGCAAATGCCAACCCAAGCATCCCTCGGTGTCGGGATTATTCAAACAGCTTACAGACTCTCCATAACCATTGGTCTAGCCATTACATCCGCCGTCTTCAACACCGCCACTTCAAAAGAAGCAATTATCGAAGACCCAACTATCCCTTATCGACGTGTCTATATCTGCGCCATCATATTTGCCAGTATCGGACTCGCATGTATTCCGTTTATGCGAATCCAAACCCGCGCCAAAGATGACACATTTACACCTCCTCGCCCAACAACCTTGAGATCAGAAAACAACGACGGTATGATTGTCAACCATCCTTCATCTCAATCACACTATGACACGTTACTCCGACAACTCAATCTCCATCGCGAGAATCCCCTCAACACCGACGAACGAGTTTACCGCGGACATCGTGCCGAAATCAATAATGCTCAACGCTATGATCCTGCACTTCCAAGATCTATGACTATGAATGATATCGCTCAAGGTCTTCTTCGTCTCCCTCGATGGAGCTGGGAAAATAGACCAAGAGCAGGTTTTTGGAGAAACCGTAGAGGTAGTCAATGTCACTGGGAGAGTAGCAGTGGAGACATCTTTGAGATATGCAAGAAGTGTAAGGAAGAGAGAAAGATCAAGGATGAAGAGGGTGCGTGGCAGGAGATTGGTGAGGCGGGTAGGGATTGTGTTAAGGAGGGTGGAAGAGGCAAGGGTACGAGAGCTATGGAGTTGGAGATTAAGGATGAGAGGAGATTTACTGTCTAGGGAGTTGCTTGCGAGGGGTTGTTGATGATGGGGCGGGTGCATGATGCGGGGATACCCAGCTTGATTTTGCGCATGGAGTTTTGCGGTTTGGAGATGCATGCTTACTTGCTTTTTCGCTTGTTTGCTCCCCTGCTTGCTTTCGACAATTGCCTATTGCATCAACATCTTCGCTTACGGTTTACATGGAACAAAGGAACGATCGAGCGGGCGCAAATACGGGTTTGGGATAACACGGTACGATGAAAGAAACTGATGGAGAGACGAATCATAAAAAGACATTATACTAATTATAGATACGACGGTACGACACGATACAGTAGATAGCGGGAGAGATGTGTATTGCAAGTTCGGAGAGTAGATAGTTAGAGAAAAATTAGAGAAAATACAATGGGATGTTTTACACGCAACACTCGAGACAAGACCAAAACTAAAACCGAAACCAAAACCAAAACTATTCATTTCATTCTCAAATCCAGACTCCACGCCTTTCACTCCACCACCACGCCATTTCATTGCGTCTCTAATGATTACCTCCAGATGAATGGAAATATTCCACCACCTTTCTAACGCCCCAGACACAGAGATTTGATATGAATCTACTATCTACTATCACCCACCTACTACCTTCTACCTTTTACCTTTGACCTTCTCCATCAGCATCCAAATACATCCCCCTTCCCCACCCCCCTTTGCCCAAACCGCACCTCAACTGCACCTCAACCGATCAACTCTGATCCCCCCCTTCTCCTCAACTTCCCCTCGAGAGTTGAGACCTAAACTCACCAGTGCAGTACGCGACGTCAGCATAAGCATACCCAGCAATACATTGATCTCCTATCTCATCCTATCCCATGCTAGCTCTAGCTTCATATCTATTTATATAAACACATAAACACATAAACACATAAACACATAAACACACACACATAAATACACACACACCACACTATCCATCCATCCATCAATAACAATACATACATACATACCGAAAACGAACCAACGCACTCACTGCTGCGATACTATCCCTCCCCGCTTCCTTCCGCTCATGATCATACCCAGTATCCCAAAATACAAAGACATTTGATCGAGACTTACCCGTCTCAATAGGTTAATCCTGTTGTCTGTCCTAGGCCAGAGGTAGCTTTCTTTACACACAGACTCTTGAGCCCAAATCCAACACCACTCCTCGATCAGCATCGCAGATTTCAGAAGATAGCGAAAGGAATATTCCGCTTCCTCCCTCTTCCATCCTCCTCCTCTCCATCAAGTACCCCCCTATCCTCATCATTCCTTGGCTTTCAATGTTCCTTCGCACTCATATTGATACTCTTCACCAAACATCCTTCACATTGTCATCACAACATCACTAAAAACAATCAAATACGCTCTTCAAATATCTTGACTTCATTTCTTAATCTTATTCTTGTTCTTGATCTTGATCTCAAGCACTTCACTTTACTTTATCCGACCGCTCGCATGCATTCTTCTCCAGTGTCCCTTGACAGTGCCCACCAGATATCTTTATCCATCGATACCAATCTCCATAACTCAAGTCGTAGCCTCATGAATCATATGCTCCAGCAATCCATAAATCTCCTTTCTTTCCTTTACATCATGGAAATTTCATGGGGAATCTAGCATCGATTATCCTCGAAACTTCATCCTTCGCAAAATAAATTAAATAAGGAAAAACGCAAAATCTTGAGTGATATGACTTTTGTGAATCCATCCGTGCCGATAGAAAGTTGGAAAAGCAAGGGCCAAACTCTAAACTCAGATATGGAAGCAACGCAGCATAAGACTCCAAAAGAGGAATAGGTATTTTACTTTTCAAAAGGAAATAGAAAATGAAAGGCGACAATTTTTTCCGAAGTCGCAAAAAGTCGGTACAATTATACAAAGAGGTTATCTGTTCCCGTAATCCTTGAACGAAATTACTAGTCTTCGAAAAAATCCTTAAGGTTTTGTCGTTTCGTCATAATTCCTAACCGTGAATGTGTAGAATAGTCGACCTCGAGGTAATCATGTGCCGTGCATCAAGCACTTAAATTTATTCTTGGCCGAAAGCCTTCTTTCTCAAAGGGCAGTCAAGCTTCTCGTGACCCTCTTGCTTGCACTCGTAGCATCGACGAGCCTCAGAAGTCTCTTGGCTGCAGTCACGGGACAAGTGACCAACCTGGAGGTTTTGTTAGTATACTGTTTGGATGAGAGGTGTGTGTAGAAGAAAACTTACTTCACCACAGTTGTAGCACTTTTGACCTTGGGTGCAGTCACGGGAAAGATGTCCGTAACCGCCACATGAGAAGCAGGTTTGGCTTCCTTGACGGGCACCACCACCGAATCCACCACCGTATCCACCTTGGTTACCTCCGTAACCTTGGTTTCCACCATAGCCACCAGCCTCTGGGCAGTTACGGGCGATGTGGCCGATCTTGGAGCACTGTAAACCAATCGAGTTAGACAGAGATCATATGGTGAGGGTGATACATCTTAATCTTACTTTGTAGCACTGTTGACCACCACCACCTCCATATCCGCCGCCGTATCCACCACCACGTCCAGCACCCTCAGTTGGTGGGTTGGAGCAGTCCTTGGAGATGTGTCCGGAAGTACCGCACTAAAGAGATTGTTAATAACTTTGATGAATCGATTTATTGGAAAAAGTCGAGACTTACTCTGTAGCAGACCTTCTCCTTTGGTCCCTCTGGGCAATCACGGCTCAAATGACCTGGGTCTGAAGATATGTTAATGTGATGTCAAGTTGTTGATTGCAGGATAATATCTTACTGTCGCAGTTGTAGCACTTTGGTGGTCCACGGCTTGGGCATTCACGGGCTTGGTGACCTTCAGTTCCGCCTATAATTTACAATCAGCTTGAATTCCAGAATGCAATTAAATGATATTCGTATGATATTGGTGTGATGTCCCGAAGATGCTAGAAGATGATTGATTTGAAGTAGAGTGTTGAATGTATTGTTTGTTGTGCAGAAGTGTTGATGCAGAGTTTTCGTTCGAGAGAATTGTGTTTTGATCCAATGTTCCAAACTTCAACCACCAGTTTCCCAGCAGATGATGAAATCCAAATAGTATCTTGAGCAATGGTTCCTCCTCCGCGGTGATCCTTTTGGTTCTCCTCATGACTTGATGGACTGCAAGGTCGAACTTGTTTGGAAAAATGGACGTTTCGATGTAAGGAATGAAGGGTAAAGGTAAAGAATCTGATCCCAACTCACAGGTAAAGCATCCACGGTTTGGGGCACCGCCTTGTTGAGCTCCGAAAGAATCCATTATGATTGGAGAGTGTGAGGTTTCTGTGATGAATTGAGTCCCTGGTTAGTATTTTCAATCCGTCAAGGTAAACAAGTGAAGCTTTGATGGGCTGATAGAGTAGAAAGTTTTGAAGGGATTTCAAGTTCGAAGTGGGTTGAAGTGGGGTTAAGGAGGAGGACAAAAAAACAATGCGACAGGCAAAAACAACTTACAGATTTGTTGGTAGAATTGATTGAGGTTGTCTTGAGAGAGATGATAGAGAAGTTGAATTAACAAAGTCTCTTGTTGAAATATCTTGTTAAGTTGAAGAGAATTTTCTTGTGACTGAGAAGTTTCTTGAAAGAGGATGAAATCTTTTGTATGTGAAGGGTTTGGGGAAAGTACCGAATTTGAATTATATCCAAGCTCTTTACTTAATTCTCTCTTAGCCTGGTTTATTTTTTTTCTCGGTTGTAAGGTTTTTCTTCTAATTGTGCGCAGATGTGGCGTTACTGATTACCTAGGGATGTATATTTTTAATGTATTTTTAATGGGGAAGGTGCCATATTGTAACCAAATAACAGGTCCGGCAAGATTCCCAGCGTTCTAGTAGAGTTTGGGGTGAAATAGATTGAAGCTAGATTCAACCAATCAGAATGGCTCTAGTCATGAATTTGAATCGAGGGGCTGAGAAGGAAGAGGGAAGAGGGAAGAGGGAAGAGGAAGAGAAAGAGGGGGGCAGAGCAGGGAGGGGTTATTATGTATGTAATGTGTAATATGTAATATGCAATATGCAATATGCAATATGCAATATATAACATATAATATATAATATATATAATATGTGATATCTAAGCTACGTATATTGTATGGAATACGGAAGTAATGAATAGGGCTTCCGATGTGTTTTGTGAAGTACTTGGTGAATTGTAGAATAGCGGTCAATGTTACTTACATTGGAGGTACATCTGCCTAGGTACTTTTCATGATTTATCCAGAGTGTTCGGTATGCAGTATGTGACTAGTATGTACCTAAATATGTATGTATGTATGTATGTAGTTATGTAAATCATCACACCTACAAAGTTTCCTGTATTTCATTCTTCTCCTTCTGTCTCTCCTTCTCTCTCCTCTCTCCTTCCCTCTCCCTCCCTCTCCTTCCCTCTCCTTCCCTCTCCCTCCCTCTCCCTACCCGTGGCTCCTTTTGCCTGTCTCTCTCTCTCCCGCTCTAACCTCAATCATCTAAGGGTCCATCCATTTCATCTCGGGCCGGGGCTCTCAGGGTAAACTTTCCCTCCCGTACGGATAAGCACCTAGCGAGCCTGGATACCGGTACCTACCTGCCGCGCCAGCCCACCTACATGGAATCAAAGAATTGGTGATGTCTTCATAACAGCCCATTCAGATACACACTTTACCAACAGCACAACAACATACACTGTTATTCAATATTGGAAACATCCATGGATGCTTTCTAATGAGATTCATCAATTGGATCAACATGATGCACTGTAACATATCACTACTCCAGGTCTAACTACCTATCTAAATTGTCTCTTGGTCCAACTATCTAATGTCTACAACCCATTGACATGTCTCAAATACAGACAACCAAAAATCAATTCTCCCCTATTGCCTGGGTACATACTCATATGTTACCATAGGAATTATTTCTTCACCATCATTCACTCGTGTTCCCTAGGTACAGATATACACACACATACATTAAAAAGGACCCCTGATCATCATGACGGGTAGATACATCTGGGGTTACGGATTACAACAGATCGTAATCTTTCACACAACCGGATTCTTTTGATAGGTTCCCCGAAACTTCGGTAATCCCATTCTTGATAACGACAATTGAGGGGGTTACACATTGAATATACTTAGGTAGTACACGATGCAAGCGGTTGACAATCTTCTCGTTGTACATCATAAGATTTTCACGGAATCGGCGCCCGAGAGATGCGAGTGTAAACGTCAGTAGGAGATTATTTGACGGGACATTCAATATTTTGTCCTAATCCTTCGAATTTGGAAGTAAAACGGTGCTCAAGTGTTGTGGCGGGGCAGATGTATTACCTAGTATCTCCTTTCACCAACGAAGAGCAATAAGGGATTGTTCCGACGGTACGATATCTCTCTGCACCCACTTGTTAAAGGGGGTTTCCAGAGACCAGTATTGAGATGCGGTTTGATCAGTATCGATATATGAAGAGAGTGTGTGTATATGTGTGTGTATGTGTGTATGTGTGTATATGTGTATGTGTGTATGTGTGTATGTGTGTATGTGTGTATGTGTGTATGTGTGTATGTGTGTATGTGTGTATGTGTGTATGTGTGTATGTGTGTATGTGTATATATATGTATATGTGTATATATATATATATGTGTATATATATGTATATGTGTATATGTGTATGTGTATATGCATACAGATACTATTTGAATGGATATTCCTATTCCCTTCTGTATCGATATATCTAACTAGAATAGTACACCGAGAGCATTTGGTGAATATCAAAATGTGAGTATCAGATTGATAATACTTGATTAGTAGAGAACTTGAAGTCTTGAGCAACCTTGGAAATCATAGGCTCCACGGAAGAGTATCTCTCTGGCAGTTCATCGATTCAAGGTCTTATTGAATCAGTAAGAAGGTTGGAAGCCCCTTCCAACCTTCACAACTTCACATTCATGCTTCACTTCTTCCTCCACAAAATTCAATCACTCATAAGGAGCCATAGCACGATGTGGTAACGTATAACATACCGCCGCCCGGTAGATAGAAATTCTAATTCGATCTTCCGAACCAATCAATCGAGAGAATAAATACTAAGATCACGTTATGTTTTACTTTCCTCACCCCTCGAAACCAATCTCTCTATTGATTTGTTCATTTTTGGAATCTGACTGTATCAACAACCAGGATAACCTCCTCCCTTCATCTTGTTTTCCCGTCGAATTTAAACAAATTCAAGGGGACGCGAGGTTTGCCCCGGCGACGCGACGGTCAACATTAAAATATTACTGACAGGTACCCTGAGACCTGTGCCACATCATCTGATATTAAAGTATTTACGAACTACAGTACAATCTCCAAGTTCTGATAAGCTTCAGTTCAACATTCATTTGGATCCCATAACATACCACCGTACCTATTGTCTTACTTCAAAACTAATACACCAATACACCTAAAATATCCCATATTGTTATTTTAAGAAAATTTACCCAGGTAACTTCATCCAGGCGCATACAAAGGCCATATTGACGCCGGGTATCCATAAGAAACCTAAAAAGCAAATAATTCCGCAATTTCTATTAACGACATCTAACGATAACAACAATGATAACCACGATACACTGATCAATTCAACGTCCTTTCTTTTCTCTTTCGATGATTCATTCAAGTTGAGCCGCATTTTCCATTGGACATCTGTCTATTCGACCACAATCTACCACCCCCTCAACCAAACAACATCTCTCGCAGGAACAGCGGCTGTGAAAGGAGAGCTTCACAAAAAGGATAATCTGGACTATTGAACATCTGCAAACATGGCGCCCGGTGGTGGAGGAAATATTAAAGTCGTTGTGCGGTGTAGGCCGTTCAACAGTAGAGGTATGCGGTGGATATGTTGCCAAACCCCATTTTTGTGTCAGGACTGATGCCTCGGGATAGAGATCGATCGCGGAGCAAAATGCATAGTGCAAATGAAAGGTGCGCAAACGGTCATCACCCCACCAGAAGGACATGAGGCGAAATCAAGAGATGCAAAGGGGGGAAAGGGAGATTCGGGCCAGAAGGTTTTCGCATTCGATCGTTCATACTGGTCCTTTGACAAAAATGATCCGAGTTACGCAGGACAAGACAATCTCCACACGGATCTGGGAAAACCTCTTTTGGATAATGCCTTTCAGGGTTACAACAATTGTATCTTCGCATATGGTCAAACGGGCTCAGGAAAATCTTACTCGATGATGGGATATGGAAAAGATGCCGGTGTCATTCCAAAGATCTGTCAGGACATGTTTGAGAGGATAGGGGAATTACAACAGGACAAGAATTTGAAATGCACGGTCGAGGTATCTTATCTGGAAATTTACAACGAACGAGTACGAGATCTTCTAAACCCATCGACAAAAGGCAACCTGAAAGTTCGAGAACATCCTTCGACTGGACCATATGTGGAAGACTTGGCGAAATTGGTTGTGAGTAGCTTTCAAGAGATTGAAAACTTGATGGATGAGGGAAATAAAGCCCGTACCGTTGCAGCTACGAATATGAACGAAACTTCTAGTAGAAGTCATGCTGTCTTTACTTTGACTTTGACTCAGAAACGATTGGATGTTGAAACAAAGATGGCAATGGAAAAGGTTGCGAAAATTAGTTTGGTCGATCTGGCAGGTTCCGAGCGAGCAAATTCTACGGGTGCAACTGGAGCTCGATTGAAAGAAGGCGCGGAGATTAATAGATCTCTATCGACGCTTGGTAGAGTTATTGCTGCGCTGGCCGACTTATCAGAAGGAAAGAAGAAGAAAGTGGGAAAGGGGAATCAAGTCCCTTACCGAGACAGTGTGTTGACTTGGCTTCTGAAAGATTCTCTGGGAGGAAATAGTATGACAGCTATGATTGCAGCCATTAGTCCTGCAGATATAAATTTCGATGAAACTTTAAGTACCTTGCGATATGCTGATAGTGCGAAGAGAATCAAGAATCACGCAGTTGTAAACGAGGATGCGAATGCTCGTATGATCCGTGAGTTGAAAGAAGAATTGGCTCAATTGCGAGGTAAATTGACAGGTGGTGGAGGGGGCGGAGGAGGGGCAGGCCCAGCAGATGAGATTTATGCCGAAGGTACACCTCTAGAGAAGCAAATGGTCACAATTGTTTCATCAGATGGTGCTGTGAAGAAGGTATCGAAAGCGGAAATCACCGAACAACTCAATCAAAGCGAGAAACTCTACTCGGATCTTAATCAGACTTGGGAAGAGAAATTGCAAAAGACTGAAGAAATTCACAAAGAGCGAGAAGCGGCCCTGGAAGAATTGGGTATCAGTATCGAGAAGGGATTTGTTGGGTTACATACACCAAAGAAGATGCCTCATCTTGTGAATTTGTCCGATGATCCACTGTTAGCAGAATGTCTTGTGTACAACCTCAAACCTGGGTCAACTTCGGTTGGGAATGTCGATACGAATGCAGCCCATGCGGCGGAAATTCGACTTAATGGAACTCGTATATTACATGAGCATTGCACTTTTGAGAATGTCGATAATGTGGTTACTCTTATACCAAATGAAGGAGCAGCAGTGATGGTCAATGGACAGAGAGTCGAAAAGCCAACTCGGTTGAGAAGTGGTTTCAGAGTCATTCTTGGCGACTTTCATATTTTTAGGTTCAACAATCCAACCGAGGCTCGAGCGGAACGCGCAGAGCAGAGCCTTCTGCGGCACTCTGTTACTGCTAACCAATTAGAAAATTTTAAAGATTGGGACAAGTTCTCGCCTTCATCTACCCCTCGGCCAACCCATGATCGAACATTTAGCAAAGCTATCTCCGATCTCGATTTTGATGGTAGTAGTCGAGCAGACTCCCCAGTGCCTGGGCGAGGTCTTTCCGATTGGTCATTAGCAAGACGTGAGGCAGCTGGAGCTATTTTAGGAACCGATCAAAAGATTGCAGGTTTGTCCGATGAGGAGCTCAATGTTTTATTCGAAGATGTTCAGAGGGCAAGGGCTGAACGTGCAACTGCGAATTTGGAGGATGATCTGGACTCGGTGACCTCGTATCCTCTGCGAGAAAAGTATCTTTCAAACGGCACTCTGGATAATTTTTCTTTGGACACTGCACTGACCATGCCATCAACACCCAAACAAGGAGAAGTCGAAGACAAAATGCGTGAAGTTAGAGAAGAGATGCAAGTCCAGTTAGAAAAGCAGAGAGAGGAATTCCAGGAACAACTTGAAACAGCCAAAACCTCAAATGTCGAGGTTGAGGAAATCAAAAAAGAAAAAGTGAGAATGGAAGAGACACTCAGAGAAGTTAAAGAGGAGATGCTCAAACAATTGGAGGTTCAACGAAAAGAATATGAAGAGAAATTACAAGAGTTGTCTCCGGTAAAATCGGGACCAGATGGACCACCTCCACTATCAGAGAAAGAAATTGCGATTGCCGAGAAAGTTGCAAAACATTGGCAAGGACGAAGGTATGTTCGAATGGCTGAAGCTGTATTTCAAAATGCAGCAATTCTGAAGGAAGCCCAAATAATGAGTCACGAAATGGATGAGAATGTTGTTTTTCAATTTGCTGTTGTTGACATAGGGCACGCTTTATGTTCTTCTTATGATATGGTTCTTAATGATATAGAGGGGGATGATTTTCATCTCGAAGATGCAACAAAACCTTGCATCGGTGTACGGGTAATAGACTACAGGAATAATGTGGCTCATCTATGGAGTCTTGACAAACTTCAGGATCGTATCCGGAAGATGAGGCAGATGCATCAATACCTCGATCGACCGGAATACCTCCAACATTTTCGACTCGACAATCCATTTATGGAAACTTGTATGCCACAGTATACACATGTTGGAGATGTTGATGTCCCTCTATCAGCAGTTTTTGAGAGTCGAGTTCAGGACTTTACTCTCGATGTTCTTTCGCCATTTACAATGCATGCTATCGGTATCATTAAGCTTTCACTGGAACCATCTTCAGCCAAAGCCCCTTCGAACACCTTGAAATTTAATGTTGTTATGCATGAAATGATAGGATTTGCTGAGCGGGAAGGGACGGAAGTCCATGGTCAATTGTTCATACCTCCCGCTTCAAATGAAGGTGGCGTTACAACGACTCAGATGATTAAAGATTTTGACGAAGGCCCAATCCGATTCGAAAGCGTTCATAGTATGAGCGTTCCAATGTTTGGCCCTACAGATGTTTCTCTTCGTGTGGCCATCTTTGCCAAAGTTTCATCAATGCATTTGGATAAACTTCTAAGTTGGGACGATATGCGAGACAACATCCCCCAACCCAAGAAGAAGCGCAAGGGTGCTCGTATATCAGAGTCGCAGTTCTATTCTGAAGAGAAGCATGATGTATTTGCTAAAGTTCAAATACTGGAGTTGGCCGAAAGTGGTGATTATCCAGCAGTTGAAGTGATTCAAACGAGTGAGCTTGACCAAGGAACCTTCCAACTTCATCAAGGTTTACAACGCAGAATTGCTGTTACCTTGACGCATAATTCCGGTGATGCTTTACCCTGGTCGGATGTCACTGGTTTACGTGTAGGGCGAATTCAACTCGTTGATCACATTGGGAAAAGTCCGGATCTCAGCTCCCCTTCGACTCCTCCCCTTTACCTCAAATTACTTTCCAAGCCCATTGTTAAAGCAAATGCAAACGGCACCAGCAATGTGTGCATTGTTGGAAAATGGGACTCGAGTGCTCATGAATCTTTACTCCTTGATCGGGTAACAGCAGATAAATACAAAGTTCAAATGTCCCTTTCATGGGATGTGAAATCCGAGAAATTGTCTCGCCCAATGACTTTCAATATGGATGTTTGCTCTCAAATTATGTCGCGTAATTATGTTCGTTCTACATCAATGTTCGCATCATTATTTCAGAGTGTACGAATTCTTCATTCGATGACTAGTATTTACTCTATCTCTGTTCGTCCAGTGGCCGTAAAAAGAGTGAGTGATCTGTGGAGAATGAATACATCGGAAGATTATGTTAAAGGGGAAGAAGCTCTTACGAATTGGACACCGAGAGGTATTAGTCTGGTTAAAGATTTTATTTCGGCGAGGAGAAAGAGACAGAGATTGGCAGAAATCGATGCTGCTCAGCCTTTGTTGAGACGTATCGCATCATCACCAGTACCAATATCAATATCACTACCCGCTCCTTCGATTCCACAGGTTGTTAATCGAGATCCAGCCGACATACCACTTCCTGTCAGTCCGCCAGCTACACAGGAAAGTTTTCCATCATTATCGATAGATGAGGCACTCCCATCATCTGTTGATGGAAATGCTCTAGGTATACATGGGGACGGTGAATTCAACAACGAAATCACCGGGAAGGCCGAATCTGCCATTGGCATTGATTCGATGTCTCATGATCCAAGTCAAGGACAAGAAAAGTCCCAGAATCAATCCGAATACAACCCACACCAAACCGCTCTTCTACAAAAGTTCACTAAATACTTCCATCTCTGCCGCGATCCATCAACAACTATTCTTACACCAACTAATATCGAACCACCTATCAATGGTTCGCCCGCTCCATCTCTCTTTCACACAGCCTCTTTCACATCCAATACTTCCCGCTCAAACTCACCCCGTCCATCAAATTTCTCAAATTCACTTCACCCATCCACCGCCAATTCCCGCCAAACATCTCGATCCCGTCAAACCTCCCCCATTCCACACGCCCACCCTATCCCATCCATACCTCAGCATCTCGCCACTATTTCTCAGATCAAAAAGAATCCCAGTGTGCTCAAAGCAGGTATGCTTTTAGTTCCTTCCGCGGACAGTACGAAGTGGATACGCAGATTTGTAGAGCTCAGGCGGCCGTATCTTCATATTCATGCGGTTGCGGGCCCGAATAGTGGGGAGGAGGTAAATGTGGTTGGGTTGAGAAATGCACGGGTGGATCATAGTCCTGAGATTGCGAAATTGTTGAGAAATGAAAGACAGGGTGGGAGTGGGAATGCGAGTAGGAATGCAAGTCGGAATAGTAGTCCTGCTGATGCGGGTACGGGTGCACAGCAAAGTTGGAGTAATAGCGGCATAGGAGGCATTTATGGGTATGGAGGCAGAGGAAGGAGCGGAAGTGGAATGGGCATGGGAATTATGGGGTATGGAGGGAGAGGAAACGGTAATGCTAATAGCAATGGTAATGGAGAGAGCAGAAGAGAAATAGAAGAAACGGTATTTGCAGTCTACGGAACAAATAATACATGGTTGTTTAGAGCGAGGAGCGAGAGGGAAAAGGTAGAGTGGATTTGGAAAATTGATCAGGGGTATTTCTCTGGCGGTGGAGGCAGAGGCGGCAATGGGAGTGGGAATAATAGTAGAGGGAGGAGAGATGATGGGAGTGGAGATAGCGATGATGTAGATGCAGAGGGGGATGTGGATGTGGATAGAGAGGATTATCTGGCGGATTAATCGTAATGCAACGTTACCTCTCTATTTGATGACATTTTTTGATATTTTAGAATGACATTTGAGTGGTGGGTAGGTGAGTGCACGGTTGGATGGTTGGATTGGAAGCAAAGATCTGGATTCAACTTCCACCTCCACCTCCACCTCCACCCGCGCCGACCCTCACCTATACTACCTACATCCTCCTAAATCTACATCTCACTCACTCGCTACTCAGGGATGAATACAAAATAAATAAATGCAACACTCACCCCAAACTCATTCATCAACCACACAATAACCCAATTCTACCACTACAAAATCACAACACCACAAAAATCACAAAGCGAGAGTCAAAAAAAAAAAGAGAACTTTTTATTTCTTTCCCTCCCCCAACTAACTACTGGTTCCCAATTCCGACTTCCCACTTCACTTCCTCGCTTCCTCCTCTTCCTGTCCCCTTCCTCGGAGATTTTTTTTTTCACCCTCCCACATCCATCCGTCTCCATAAAAGATTTTAATTTATTTGTATACCTCTTCCCCATCCCTCATCATATCGTTCAATCCCAACGCCAACCAAAGACTAGTAATTATAGAGAGCGAGAAATAAAAAGATGTTTCAAAAAATACAAGTAAAGAATTCGAGATACTACTTCTCATCTCATCTCAATTCATCCTATCCCCCCAAAAGATATCCCAGTACCATGCCATTATCTGCTGTCACAATTTCCCTCTTTGCCACTACCACTCAATCTACGCATCAGGTAATGCACTTAATGCTTTCTCTTTTTCTTGGGTGCTTCTTCTTCATCCTCCAATCCACTTTCCATATCCTTTCTCTTGGCCTTCTTCTCCAATTCATCCCAATCCTCTCCCTCACTCTGTTCATCACTATCCTCTTCTCCTTCATCCTCACTTGCATTACTATCAAAATCACTATCTTCATCCGAACTTTCTTCCGTAGCCGCCATTTCATCATCACTTATTTCAAAAGCAGATTCCTCATCTTCTTCATCACCACCTTCATCATCTGACTCCGTAGCCAAAAATCCCCATCCACCATCCTCAAAGAATCCATGAGGATCGGCTGTAACAGTCTTCATAATCGTTGGCCAATTCAAATTGAGTGGACCTTCGGAAAATGGAATATTGACGGAATCTAACCATTCCTTCACATTTTCGAGTGATTCGACAGGAATGGTATTGATATGGTAAGGAGCACGGTGGAAGTCCTTGAAAACAAAGACCATATCAAAGTTCTTGAGTCCGAATTGTACACGCTCAAGATGAGCAATTTCGATATCCTCAAGGGTGATGACCATAAAAGGAGGTTCAGTCAGTTGAACTAAACAATCTGTGGAAGGTTGACAGAAACGCTGGACCTATTTGGTACACCACCGAACCCAAGTTCACGGAAAGGTACGTCAACATCGACGTTCTCATTTTTACCAGCGTCGGCAATCTTCTCAGCAAATGCTTTGAATTGACGATCGAGATCAGCGCGACGTCTTCGTTCTTCCTGCTCTGCTTCGAATTCTTCCTCATCGCCATATCTATACTTTCGCTTTCTGTTTCCAGTTTCATCAAATTGAATATCAGTAGCTTCGCGATAGAATTGAACATCTTTGGTCTTCTTTTTGCCAATCAAAATTGGATCCTTTAGATGCACATGAATGATGACGATCAATTCATGGTCACAAGGTTGGAAGAAAAGATGCTTGACGTTACTGAAAAGGATATCGACTCGGTGTTGAAGATTGAGAGGGGATTGATATCGAAGACCGTTCTGATGGATTTCAACCTTTCCGGGTACACGTTTACCATCCATAGCTGGACGAATGAAAACGTTGTCCATAACAATTGGACGACGATCTGATTATGTCAGTAAAATATAGAAGAAAAAAGAAAGAATGGCTATAAGTTGCGAACTTACTTCGAATTTCAACCAACTTGTCCTGCTCAACAACATCTTCCATATCCTTCTTCTCTTGTTCACGCTTGACAGCATCTTTCTTCATGTTACCAATTTGATTGGCAATATCTTGAAATCTATCTCCATCATGAGATCTGAATGTCAAACTTCTAACAAAGTGTGCTGAAACATCTTCGAATGGTTGATCATCCTTTCTACCGACACCTTGACCAGGAGATAAGAAATTGATTCGGAGGTATGAAAATTCACCCTCGTCACTCTTACTGGCGTTCTTGATAGTTTGGATGTGGAAAGGTACTGGACGGCCCATAATGGGTAAAACAACAGTTGAGTTTTTCGCGTCCATGACAATGGCGAGATCTCTGATCTTCGGAGGGAATTGATTCTCACGCTTGTAAGATTCAAATCGCTTGAATTTCTTCACGGCAACACCATTTTGATCGCCAGTAGCTTCAGCAAATCGTGCAAGACCTTCGGCCTGTTTTCTTTTTGCGAGCTCTTTTTGATGCTCACGCCTCCTGGCTTCAGCACCTTCGTCAACTTGAGTTGATCGTTCACCCCGAAGTTTTGTCTTGGTGATATTTTTAGCTGCAACGGCCCCAACACTTGAATCCTTCTTTGCCTTGGTAGCTTTTGGTTCTGGTGCAGGCTCATCTTCTTCATCCTTGAAAAAGAACGAGGTCGCATCGAGTTCCGAGGGGGCATCGCCGGTGAAAATAACAGGCTCCGCTTGAGTGACACGAACAGTATCCGATAATACCAAAGAGTAGATTTTGCTCTTCTTGTCTTGAGGATCTTTGTTCTCGATATCATTGAACCCTGTAGTGACACAAAGAGTCATTCCGTCTTTTAAGCTGCGAGTGCTCTTGGCATTCAGGAGTAAAGTAGGGTCCCTTGTTTCGATACCGATTCCAGCTCCAACATTCTTCAAGAAATGTTTCTCCAACTCAGGTTTTTTGGTTCTAATGAGGGCTAAAGCTTTGGCGTAAATATCTTTGACATGAGCGCCATCGCGAATTTCCTTCATAACAAGATTGTGAACCTGCAATAAGAATTTGTAGTTGCTCTCTTGGGATTTGTTTGGGTCGACGAGATAAGTTCGGCCGATTAAGGAGCAGTAGGTTTTGTATCGAAGACCCATAGAACAAATGATGACACCAGCATGTAATAACTCATCGTCAACTTGAGCACTCATCTTCAAGTCGTATTTTCCACCACTTTGTATGATAGGTCCATGGGTCCAGTCCAATTGTGATGAATCGAAGTCATTTGGCATCCTCTGTTTATTAGGAAGCTCCACGGAAGTCCAAAACTTGGCGTCGTCCAATTTGCCATCCACTTTGTTAGCCAGGGCGCTATGTTTGACTTTTTTCTCTTCATCTAAAATGCCTGACATTTCCTCGACGAAATATGGGTTCATGAGTGCAGTACATGCTTTTGAGGAATTTCGCATAGCACGCTGCAGAATATGTTAGCATCAGCCAGTTCTTCCACCTCGTGTTTAGGGCCTTACCAATTCATTCTCATCTTTTACTGCCAGAGCTGCAGCAGATAAAGCTGGCGCAATATCTACTTCTTCCACGTCCTTGATTTCGGTATAGGTTTTCTTCCACTCATCGATAAAAGGGCCACTTGATGTATCTTTTGGTAGGATTCCAACTTTCTTCTACAAACAGAGATTTGTTAGACTGTTCTTGTTGCGCATAGTCATATTGTTCATGGCTCACCCCTGATGATTTGATGACGTCTGCGATCTTTGTGAAAAGCTTCTCGTTGGCTGCTGCATCTTTGCCTCTAACCAAGACCTCGAGAGGAATCTTTCCACCTTTCAAAGGTTCCAAATGTTTCGCTATTCCAATATTAGCTTTCAATTTGCTGGCGCATAGAATGGAGATTCACACACCTTTCTTTGCCGTTGTCACAATGTATAAAGTGTCGACTGTGAAAAGGAAAAGCGTCGCAGGAAACTCATAGCCTAATAACCAAAACTATTTCTTCATCAGCATTCGACCTTCCCTCCATTGTACTTTCTCGTGAAACGTTTTGCAGGTGTCTAAACTCACATGAATCGCATTGTTTTTCTGAAAGCTTGCCACATCCTCCGTCTTCCCCATTAACACCAGGATACTATTTGCGCCATTGAAAACCGCGTCGCCGCCTCTCTTATCAGCTTTCCATGATGATATAAAGTGTGATAGTCGTTCCTGAAATAGATTCTTGTCAATTCTGATATCCACCATGATGATTTTGAATATTTGTTGATGGTATAGAATTGAAGTGGAGTTTGTTGAAGAAAGAGAGAGAATATATCAAAGAGGAGGACGCGATAGTCGAAAACTCGCGTTGATTGAAATTGATAAATTGCGTATGTGGTCTTTAAGGGTTGATAGAATTGTTGTCCAAGTGAGCTTCGATAGCTACATCGATAAGGGATTGTTGACGAAACCTAACGCCGAACTCCTTTTCAGCCTCATTAACCTTTACCATACATAAGGCTGCATGAAAGGCTAGCAGCCGTACATCGTATAGCTGTGATAGATTTGCATGCTTTACTGACTGTTGTCATATTCTGGTAATTACATCTTGTATTCGGTTATGAAGTCAAGTCTTCCAACCTTTGTGTCGATAATTCAGATCTTCTAAAATCACATGTGGTTTGTAGCTTCGCTAGCAATATAAAATAAGATATACATATGTTATCTCCCTATTTGTTATTGATTCAACCAAGGTTCATGAAATCGGTTTTAGGTATATTATTCGAGTACAATTGGGCATTAAAAGTCATATCAATAACCTATGTACAAGAGAAGTTTAATACTACATCTACTACACGAGCTACCCATGTTCTTGTTTTAATATTCAGTGCTAGCATGGGCACTTCCAATCATCCATCTAGATTGGATGACTGGGACCGAAGTCATTCGGTATTGTTATATATGGTATATAACCATTTAAAAGATACCCTTTGATTAAATTAGCAACGAACTAGAGTCGATCAAATTGATGGGAATAATGCGGAACTTACTGGAATGAACAGATATGGAACCAATCTTTCGTACTCCTCCCAAGCCTCTCCATATCTCTCTCGGCACTTTTGAATATCTCTATATGCACGATGAGAGATCATACCGGCAAAGAAGACACAATAAAACCAAGGAAATGGACTCTTGAAGCCAGTAATAAGTCCCCAGCAGAAAGCGAAGAAGAAATCGCAAGTGTAATGGATTTTGCGAGCCTTTCCGTACCAGCCATCAGCCAAAATTGAGTCACCGGTTTTGGTTTTGATGACACGTGGGTTCATGACCTCCTTCCATGGCAATTGAGGAAATGCTTTACGATCTGTAACGGTTCCACGTTCACGAGATCTAAATCTGTTCTTTTGGCTATTGGTGGTATCCCAGACCCAGTATACGAATAGGTACGATGTGTACAAGAAGAAGAGGAAGTACTTGTTCCATGAGTATTCGGATGGTGGGTGGTTGGCCAAATAAATGGTGCAGTGGCAGTAACTGAGAGGAACACCCGCGAGATTCCAGAAAATCAACATGAAGCCCCATTTCTCATAGTACATATCCCTAAAATAGTCAGTAGACTGTGATGAGATGTGAACAGAGATATACATACCAGGTTGTTATGATCAATTCTTCTCCTTTAGCGCATGCATTTGCATACAAAAAGTGAGCCATGATCAAGAATCCGACTTCACCTGATACATAGCCATATTGTTCATATTGCCTTGCAGCAGCGGCACAGGAAAGGCCCAAGAGAATGAACCATGGTAGACGAACTTCGAAGAACATTTTGAAATCCAAGATACCGAACATTCTTGGATTCAATTCGGCTCCCATGAAGAAGTCATAAATTGGATAGCCTGTCATTCGGTGTTGAGCTCCACGTGCCAAAGCCGACAAATAAGCAACAATTGAGACCAAAAATCCGGAGCAGATGGCTACCGACATGATTGGTCCAAACTCATCTAAGAGAGTATAAATTTTGAAAATGTTTAAGTAGTGCAAAACAGCCCCGGTGATGATGGTGAAATAGAAAGACCAAATTCCAGAGCAATAGTATGGCAATTGCTTACCTCCCTCGTGAGGAAGCGGTTTACCATAACCCCAAACTCCTGGCATAAGGCAATACAAGATAGCCTCAAAGATGAAGAAAACCCAGTAGATTTTCCAGGCACGAAGACTTGGGTATGCCCCTGTGTAGACGAGATCACCCAGATGCTTCACAAAATCGAGGAATTCTTGACCTGGTTCCGGCGTGGGAAATTTCCCATCATAGTATGTTGCTCCAATCCACATATACCACATGAGACAAGGGAAGCCAATCATCATAGCACTAACGCCGAAAGAACCACCAAAATCGAAGTGGCCAGAAGTATCAATCTTTGGATCATTTGTAACCTTTGTTGATTTCCCATTGACTGCCTTCTCCTCGGTTTCGCTCTGGACATTTGCGCTTCCACTCTTCAACGGTTCGATCGTATTAGAGCCATTCAATGCGGAAGTAAAGCCATTGATTGCTGCGCCATTACTGACATGATCATTGGTTGTTGCTGTCTCGACCATATTGACTTTTCGACTTGAAGATCTCATCCTGGATGGCGGGTTATCTGTTGCGGAAGAAGAATCGTCTGCGTCTTCTGGGAATTGTGACTTTCTCTGGCGACGGATTCGCGGAGTCTCGACGAAACCAGCACGTTCCGTTTTTCTATGTGAATTGTTAGATTTCTCTCCCCGATGGAAATAGAAAAGAAGGATCAACAGTGAGTACTTACTTTGGCGTCTGCCGCAAAGAATATCTTTCGCGTCCTTCAGACATTGTGTAATTTCGGAACGGAACGATGGTTGAGACGAGTATGAGCCAATAATTTACCACATGTAATTTCAAATGAAGCGCTTGTAAGGAAAGTGCTATAATAGAAGCTCAAAGATCATGATTTCACACGCGTACAAGAAAAAGTGTCAACAAAATTATGAGAATCAAATCAGTCTCCATTTTCCATTGGGAATTATTTAAAATTAATATTTGTTTACTAGTTTCCGTTTCCCATTTCAGTCGAGCCACTCGGAAGCCATACATTGGGTCGGATTGATCTTCATGTATCCCCTGTGACTCCTTAAAATAACGCCTTCGATAATCGAGTAACCCTAGTAAAAGATGGGGATTTTAATTGACAAATTACGTTTTACGTGACTTTAATAAAGGGGCAAGGATAACAATGTGCGTATGGGTGTACCTACCACCTATTAACCTTAAGTCACGAATACGATATCGATAAAAGTGTTTAGTCAGGTAGTATTGATTAGACGTATTAAATGAATAATTATGTAGGTATTAGATGTATTAGGTGTATTAGTTGTATCAAGTGTATTAAGTGTTGTCTAGGTAGTGACAACAAATAGTTGCGGGGCTATTTGCCTCAACCAACTCATCGATTCAAACATAAAAGGAATAGTCGAAACATTGTATCACCAAACGGGCGTATGATGCTTTGTTAATCTTTGTACCTAGGTAGGAAGCTCAACATAGTCGGAGTTGTGTTTCACTCTATGCATCCCAGCTGAGTCCAACACAAAACATTTTCTAACATTATGTGACTCCTTATTCATCGCTAATTTTTGATTGCTATGGTCGGTTGCGAATAACCATTAGATATTATACATAGAACTTCCTCGTAACATATACTGTATTTTGCGCGCCAATTCCCTCCCTAAACATGCGCCAACCGCTCATGCCATAGAAATGATGCCAAAATTCGGAAATTATCCGAATAAGTAATGTACAAGAAAGTTGCAATGCATCTTTTGTTAAACCTAATATAAGACTAGGTCAACCGCCCATCCAAAATTTCGTTGCTGAATAGCGAAACATGGATACCTAACTTTTGAAAGGGACCTTCAGCACGAATCATCTCTCTTCTCGTCATTTCATCTCATTTTCTCGTAATATTCATCATTTAGAGAATCGATCATGACATCCCATTCAACGACCTGTCCGGCCTCCTCCATCGATCATCGCCGTCCTCTTCATCCTCCTATCCACCGTACCCAGCCCTATCATTACACCAATAAGACCCTCATACTTTCTGATAGAACAAAAGATAGGCGACCTTGTTATCCATGAGTGAGGATTTACCAGCCCCGTATCCGGTAGCAGGTTTGGACTTTGGTGTGGAAGCGCCATTTAATACGCTTGACCATTTCTTTCCAGACCCACTGGCTTGTTTCCATCCATCCTCCTCAGTTTCTCCATTTTCTTCCCCAATTGAAGCAAAAACATTTCCCGACGATGAACTATCCTTCTTGTGAGCCTCCAAAGCAGCGGCCAAAACCTTTGGATCTTCTTCGCTTCCTCCTTCAGCTACATCTTCGCTCCTTACACGCTTGATGACAGTATCGTCAAGTCTGATCCACTCCTTCCCATCTTGTCTTCTGACGTCTACAGTATAGTGTCCACCGCTGGCATTCTTACCGTGATGATAGACAACGCCAATTAGACGATACTTTGGATAGCCATCATGAGCAAAAACACTACGCTTAGTTCTTGGGAAGACTTCCTTTGGTAATTCGAGTTCCAAAGGATATCCAACTTTCTTCCAAATCTTTTGTGTACCGCCAGTGTTGTCGTATTGGAAACGCTTCAAGTGCAATATGAGTACAGGGGGTACTGTCTCAATGAATACTTGCTTTGTCGCGGTTACGTTGGGACCCTTTGGAGACTTGAAATCGCCATGAAGGACCTCTGAGTGTGTTAGGCCTTTCAATGCATCAACGATGTTATGGATATCCGGGGAACCGATATCCAGTTGTAGTGGCTGATATGGCTCAAGAGTAATGGAGTCTTTCAAGCCTGGTACACGCAATTCGGATCTCAAACTACCACCAAAGATTTTAGTGACTGGAGAGCCAGTATTAGTTCCAGAAGATCTTGTAATAGCAGCTTTTTGTTTAGGTCCAACCTGTTGCCAAACGTCATCAACGGACCCGCGTCGACTCGCAGTATCGCTGATAGGAGACGAAGGTACGTTCATGGGTGTGGTAACAGCCGAATTTTTGCTCGAGTCACTTGACTTCATGACATGTACACATTCATCATGAAGCCCTTCAAGTAAAAAGCCAAGGAATTCTTCCGCGTCTTGTTGATGTCCTCTCTATGGCACATATTAGTAAATACAAACTCAAAGGATACACTCAAACTAACCTGCATTGTGACAAATCTCGGTAAACGTCGCATAACATCGTAAACAAAATCTGGCGTGAAAGAATCTCCATATTGCTCAAGTTCTCCGTCCTTGAGTCTCATTTTGAGTTGCTCAGTTGATTTTGCAGAATCAATAACTGAAAACTCCCGCATAAACATAATCCTTGTAGGTCGTTAGTGACAATCACACAAAACCCATTGTTGGTACTTACATGGCATCAATTAAAGGTGTTTGGCTCTTGAAGCTATGCGCTGCTTTCTTGCTAACTTGGTCAAGAAAGTCATAGAAAGGGGTACAGAAAACGAGAACTTGTAAAACTGAGTTCATATAGCACATGTTACCAGTGTTCACTAGACCTCGAGGCTCAAGAAATGATATTTTGGAGTCCTTGGCTTCGGCCTTGAATGAACGCAATGCTTCAGCTAGTGATTCAGAATTATTTTTGCCAAATTCGGAGGATCCATTCTGTCCACCATTTACAGTGGTAGGAGCTGTAGGAGCGCCAGATGAACCAAAAAGACCAGTCCAAGCTCTTGGTGTTGCCCATGCTTTGGCAGGGGGAGGTGTTGCCTTGACTTCTTCAGTGGTAAGGCCATTAGTTTCATTCTCGTTTGACACTTCGGACTTGGTCTGTTCTGCTTCAGATGCGACTTCGCCATTGGTATTTTGAGAATTCGTCGATGGCGTACTTTTAGGTTGAGATTTTGGGATGGCACGTATAGCAGGGACGGCAGGGACGGCAGGGACAGTGGCTCGCTGAGATTTGGTAGCCACAGGAGTTACTTCTCCACCTGCAGGTAGAGACGAAGCCTTTGTAGAGGATGGAGTAGTTGGCACTGTAGATTCAGTGTCTTCTGATGGACCTTGGGTAGTAGTAGGTGTTTCAGGTGTGGGCTCTGAAGCTTCTTCAGTGCTCGGTTTTGGTTCAGACGATAATTCTGACGTCTCCACGCCCTTCTTCGACTCAGTATCAATCTCCTTGTCTAGGCTTGGAAGCTCCACAGGATTCATAGACAACTCTGGATTCTGCTTTCTTTTCCGACGCCGTCTGGTCGGCCAGGGTGCAGTAGTGTTGGGGGATATCCAAGGCAGCTAGTTGTGATGTCAGCAATTGAGTAATGCGTTTTTAAGAGTATAACATACAGGTGCCTGAAATGGTATATAATGTTTGGGAGCTGGAGGTGGGGACTGAGCAACAGGTTGTATTTGTGGAGTTGGGGGCGTGAGAGGTCCTGCAGAAAGGGTGTTGGACGATTGTGTTGAGAAGCTCGAGGGGGTTTGAGGTGGTGGAGGCGCAGGAGCTGGCTGGTAAGACGACGCAATTACTGGCGGGTGAGAGGCAGCAATGGCAGGAGATGGCTGAGGTCGAACGAAAGGTGGTGCTTGGGGTTGAAGCGGAGGTGGTGGTGGGTGAGTATAATGCGTCATCATTGGCGGAGGCGAACGACCATAGTGTTGGTATGGGTTATACTGTTGAGTCAAGCCATTATTGTAATATTGAGGAGGCAATGGTTGTGGATGGTAATAATTCGCGTTGTACGGGTGCATGTACCCATTGTACAGAGGTGCCGCCGGTGGATATGGTTGAGCTTGATGACTGTAAGGTCTCCGTCTTCCCAGGTCTTGTTGCATACCTTGCCCTGCCGGCAGATGACGACCGTTCATCATGCCGGCTTGCTGAAGTTAGTTCTTTCCAAACCTACCTTGTCCAGGTTGGTTTGAATTGGCAGGAGCTGTCGCGCGAAACTGATATTGGCTCTTCGTTAGATGGGGGGAGCTCTTTTGAGTATGTTCTTCAAAGCACTAGCGCATTAAATAGAAAAGATATCCCTATATTTAAAAAGCGCGCGATGGCAGTACCTTCAAAGATAAATTCGCACAAATAAAGCTATTGATATAACTATTATTTAAATATATGTTGTTGGCTTGGACTGTTGGATTTGGGGTAGGTAGATTTCCGAAGTCCTCCAAAATTATGGAGATCAAAAAAGAAGATGACTGAGCCAAAAAAGTGAAAGCCTTGCCAAGACTTTTTGCCCCCAAACGAAGCAAACCACAGAGGAGCGTATGTAATCTTTACCTACCTAGAACATTTGAACTGGCTCTCATTGTACGCCGACTACAACGTTGTAAGAAATGAATCGTTAGATATTACACATGAGATGGAAATTTACATGGTCTTTCTACCTCAAAGTGTACCTAGGTAATGCTTTGAAGTGACTTCAAATATATCTTCACACATTTGACATCTTCTTCACGGTCTCAAACATACCCACCCACACCTAGCTATCTGAGTCCCTACTAGGAGGGTGCTGACAGGTATGACGAACGATCTAACTGCGCTTTATGTCTCTAACGTTTCCCTATAAGATTACCGATAACGTCGAGGGAACTTTCAAATCGCCCCTCATCCTCATTAAGTGATTTGGAGTGACTCTTCCTGTCCTCGATCAATAACGTCCTTGTGGCGCCTGCAATTTCCTCCAAAAATTAAACACCTGGATCTGTTTACTTTTCATAGTAAAGTTACTTTGTTTTGTTAGTTGCCCATCCTTACTATCTCATTCTTTCTGTTCAATCGTTCTACTCTAGCTTTGCATTTCATACTTTTCCAACACAGCTTTACACGCATATCAAGAGCAATTGTCTTATCCGAGGGACCGACGATTATCAAATCGGATCTGATCGAGAACATTGAAAAGTGCAACAATTCTATCAAGCAGCCAGACGTCACCATAGGGCATATAAAGATACACCATTCGGAGCCATATCATTTCATCTGATACTTCCCTCTTTACACATTTAACCGAATTTCCAGCCTGAGAGACCATTTGATTATCAAGCCTGGATTGGAACATTGAGAAGTCTCCATATCTAAAGACTTTGAATTATGAACCCCGTTCAGCAAAGCGCGTCATCGCCTGGTGGAAAATCTCTCAATACTGCACACAATCCCACTCAACAACAACAGAGTCAAATTACATCTCCAAATTTCGAGTCAAATACAAGGCGCTCTGGCAGTCAATCAGGTGGTGTATCTGCGGCTGCTAGAAACAACCAAAGTCAACGAAAACAACATAGAAATTCCAAGAAACCTAGGCTCGCGGATGAGGATGCTATGGCGGAATCCGTAAGTCGTACATTTCCTCACGTTCCCATCATTTGTATTCCTGTTCCAGTGGTAGATTGCAAGCAATTGGCACAGTACAAAAGATCAGTTCATTGCAAATGATTAGGAGATTTTATTTCCATAAGCAGATTACAGACAATCAGTGGTGCTAATACTGCTAGGCGGCTATGAGAAATGCCAATAGTCGAAGAGGACAAACATCAATTACACATCTTATGAGTTTCGCTCTTCCTCCTAGGCCACAGGATTATCGAAACACAATCGCAAGAGGAACAAGACGTGGGAATATATATGGAATTGGATCTGGTCATCATTCTAGTGATAAGGCGAGGTATATTCACGCAAATTATCGATTTATAGTCAGGCCAAATGGAGATTACAAGCAGCAAGCTCTGTTCGCAGATCAGCCTTTAGACTGGAATGATGTTCTTCAAATTCTCGCATCTGCCGAATCACAAGACACATCATGTCCAATCTGTCTCTCGCATCCTGTAGCTCCTCGCATGGCAAAATGCGGACACATTTTTTGTCTACCGTGTCTCATTCGCTACATGCACTCAACCGACGACACCAATCCTCTACCGGAGAAGAAGGCTCGATGGAAGGCATGTCCAATCTGTTGGGATACTATCTATAGTTCAGAAACGAGACCCGTCAGATGGTATATTGGACAAGAAGGGCCGGCCCCTCGTGAAGGAGAAGATGTCGTATTACGATTAGTTATGCGACAACCTGGAAGCACTTTGGCACTGCCAAGAGATGGTGCGGATGTACTCGACAAATCGGAAGATATTCCATGGTATTTCGCTGCCGAGGTTACGGATTATGCTCGAATTATGAAAGGAAGTGAGGAATATATGATAGAACAATTTGGATTGGAAATCGAGGCATTGAAACAACAAGAGAATGAGGATGAATTGATGTTTGGAGAAGAACCCGAGTGGACTCGGAAAGCGGTCAATTCTGTAAACGATGCGAAGGAGAAAGTAAAAGGTATTGGTGGACCACCACCTCCACCAAGTCAGCCAACAGAGAAGAAGCCCAAAAGGCAACCCATACAGTTCAATCCTGTCGATGAAAATTCTCCAGAGATGTATTATGTTCAGCAAACCTCAACGCTGTCTCCATCAGCTGTTCCTTTTCGATTGGATTCGACAGTGACTCCACCACTACCTTGGTCCAACCCTGTTCCGATCTCAGATCCTTCGCAATCCCATTCAGGGAGCATGCAACAAAACGACAGGCAATTACGACCAAAGAATGCCCAAACAAACGAGAGACATTCGGATGTCCCGTATTTATTTTATCAAGCACTTCTTCATTATTATCTCGCTCCTCTCGATATTAGAATTCTCAAATCAGCTTTTGGAAATTTTGCATCATTTCCTTCAACGTTACTTCCCCGCGTCGAACGCGTATCTACTCACGTGATGGATGATGAACTGAGGAAAAGAACCAAATATTTAGCACATTTGCCATTTGGCTGCGAAGTAGGATTTTTGGAATGCAATTGGACTGATGTTGTTCAACCAGAAATCTTGAATCAGTTCAAAGAGGATATTGAGCGACGAAGAAAACGTAATAGGGACAAGGAGGTTCGAGAGGAGAAAGACAGACAGCGTGCTGAAAAGGCAGAGGATAATGCACGTTGGGCCACGGCTAGACAAAAGCAACCCGAAATATCCCCGGCAAACTATTCCGACATCGATTACACCCAGCTCGCATCAGCATCTATTGACCCGATCGATGCGTCTCCTCCTTGGACTTCACGTCAAGGCTCTTCTTTCGGGGCATTAGCTTCACCATCTACGAGCCCTCCTGCGCCAAGAACTGTTTGGGGAACAACACTGGTAACACCATCTTCGCCTGATCTTCATCCTCAGCACAATAGTAATGCGGATGATGGTTGGTTACCAGGCTGGGAACAAGAGCTTCAAGCAGAGAATGATGCATTGATTGCTCAAATTCAGGCGGCGTCCTTGAATGGTGAAAGTAGTTCAAGTGCTACACCTCCACCAGCACCTCAAGGGAAGAAGAAAAAGGGTAAGAAGATTACATTAATGAGTACAACAGCTAGAAGAGCTGCATGATTGTTCGCGAAGATTGGAAGTATGTATTTTTTCGAAGAATTTGGCGTTCATAGTGATATCACTACAGAGACACGATGCAATATATTCATTTTCAATGTTCAACAATATGCAGAATAATGCAGGGTTTCCCATAGTCTGGATTGTATTCTGACAATGAAAATCATTTTATTCCTGACTTCCAATCGCCTGGGATTTTAAGACCATTTAAACATCGGAGGTCTTCAAAGCAGTCCAATCATTGCAACATTCAACCATCTGAATTATCCGAATGAGTTCACTTAACACGTTGGATTATTTTCAAGGACCTTCCCTCAAAGCTCACATCTGGTCTGCTAATCTCGATTATTGGACACCCACACAACATGATGTTATGCAAGTCTCGTCTCATTCTTCATATTTCGCACGGACGAAAAGGATTCTAGAAGTCAATTTCTATCAAGTGCTATGAGTGGCGTTTTGGGCTGTGTAACAGTTTCCTAGCTTGAGTTCAAATGCCATGGTAACACAGTGATCTGCACTTCTTCCGGTATATTTCAACCGTCACAGGTAACACCTTCATGTTTTATCCTTCTAGCTGCTTCCGTCAACGAACCACACGAGCTGAAATATTTTTGTTGAAATCTTTACTTCCAAGTTAAAGAGGGGTTAAGATATCCCACTCAGATGTCTGTGTCGCTTAACAATCATCCCACGTCTTCATAACAACTCAACAACACGATATCTTTCTGAACTTCTCATGTTCAATATTGACTTCGGCGGTTTTATATGACCGAGTGGTCTGCCATACATTACATATCAATTGATTCAACAATTCCTTATGTGATGCAATGCACGGCCCGTACCGCGATAGGAAAGCTTCCTGCAGCTAAGGTCTCGGCGCAGATCATTGTATCAATCAACAAGCTGAATAGTCCTATCAACTATTTTTATCACCATCTATTATTATGTCAACAAAGATATACGATATGTTTGAGCAACATGGGAAACTTCAATCCTCTTATCACTCATTGGAATTTTTCTCATCCTACTCCACTATCTATCTATCTTTACTAATTGTTCTCGCGAGCAACGTTACGACAGTCTTCCTAATGCTCTCGATTCTCAAGAATTTCTTCGTATATACCGGGACGTTCCGGATTGTTTCTATTTATATGTTTATTTGTATTTCTTCAATGCTCACGGAACGGGGACCCTAGAGCTTGTAGACCCGAACGTTTCGCTGGACGTTTTACGATGTAACCTCAAGGTCGGTCGATGTTGAAAGCCCGGTAAGATAGATTCGCTTAAGTCAGTCATCATCAGCCACGTTTACACCCCTCACATCTTCACATTATTACCATGCATTCATTATTATCATTATTATAGATAGGCTATACTCTAGATCAATATAGTCGGACACCCATCATATTTCAGGATTTACAGAACAGTTATTGAGTATGATTGAGATGCACTTACGTTTCATTTTCAGTTCCTAGTATTATACATATGCAGGTCCATCAATATCATCCGAATAACCTATCGGATAGTGTTCGATGCCGAGATAATCAAATGTGGAAACACTTTTCTATGCTGTCAAATACCCTACTCGATACGAGGTATATTGCTAGGGATCAATGAGACACGGCTACGCAAAACCGAGTCCTTGGGCTGAAAATAATCTTCAGCATGGTATGTTGATTTGCAGAATTACTTTTCTTGATTACCAGTGCGAACAAATCCCGCGGAATTGATTCGCTATTGTTTATCGAGGTCCATGGATAATTGTAGATTGGAAACTTCCACGCCGCATTCATTATGCAAGCTGGAATTTGAGGTGAACATGTGTATGGCTTCGATCTAACATACCTACGTCATCCTGCACTTTTCCCCTCTCAATTCCATATGTTCAAATGTGAAAAAAGAATAGGATCATGCAATTGACTCTGTCATTGCTAGTGCAAGTTAACCACGATTTCGGAACCCGCCTCTTAACGCTCTCTGGTCTTGATATCGTTGAGGAGATATTATAATGATACGAGGCTCTCGTGCTTCACAGCGTGAGTTCCAATCGGCCCGTGCTTTCACCTGTCAGGCTATCGTATAGAGTGGGAAGACACGAACTGCATATTCATGCATCTTACTGTGTTGCGCGGAGGAGGCGTCTAGAATGTATGTAAAGAACAAGGCTAGGTCCTTGTATAATCATGTTATGTCGTATCACTGACAAAGAGTGGGACGAAAGCTCACTCTTGATTCAACGTTGCTTGATATTTTGGTTTGGTAATGGTGCTGAGGGGCGAAGGTGAGATGGGGTGAGATAAGATGTGAGAACTATATATATTGGTGTTGGCTCTATGCTTTGAGCTTTCGATTATCCTCATCATACAATTACATCTTATATCCAACTGCAGTTTTATTCGATCGCCACTACAACTGCCACACAGAACAATTCGGACTCAAACTCAAACATCAATATCACTATCACCCAAACTACCAACTCAAATTACATCCTTGGCTAAACTCAATCAAAATGCTCTTCACAGTTCGTCTCCATCCTCCCCCCATTTCAATACATGCATACTAACAATCTTCAGACCATTCTCCCCTTCACTCTCCTCACCGCCGTCCTCGCTTCCCCGGTACCCGTCCCCGCCTCTACCTCCCCAATCTCCACCTGCTCCACCCTCACCACTAAACTCGATTACTACCAAGGCTACCAATCTCCATCCCAATGCGGCATCAATGTTTCCTCAGGCAACATCACCGCTGGTGTTTGCGTCAATATCGTAACTCAAGGCATCATGCTTTTTCCGGCTGATACGGATTGCACCTATAGTATCTGGAAAGGAGTCACCGATTGTAGTGGTGGTGTTACTCAGACTTTTGATTTGGGAGTCTCGCAGCAGGGTGTGCAGAGTGTGGGAACTTGTGTTGGAACGGGAGTTATGGATGGGGGGAGATTTTATCATGCTAGTGGATTTTTGAGTTGTGGATGCAACTAGGCACCTCTATCTGGATATGCATAGGATTTGAAAGCTGGGTCATAACGGTGGAAGACAAGACGTGCTTTTATGAACCATGAACGAAGGACTAATTTCGGATGCATGAAATTATGGGAGTTATTAATGTTGATTATGATTGGTTATGATTGATGGGCGGAACTTCGATATTTCCTTACGCTTGCTTGGGATGGATTGATGGAGTTATAACCATAGACAAAAGTTGATGCTATGAATGGAACTTCCTTGCTTGCTTTCAGTATACGCGATTGTTTCGTGGAGCAAATTGCTGTTTTCGTTTATCTTTTTGTATGGTAAATTGTTGGAAGTCAAATCAAGTTGAGTTTGCACACTGTCGAACCTTTCCTTGTGATTCTTATACTGTTCTACTAAATAGAAAATCGATTACAATTAGTCCGCCTCCACGGCAGTGGCTCCTGGAGGGCCATCGGAGCGTCATGACGCCTGAAGTTAGGAATAGCTTGATGTCACTCTATTCTCTATAGAAATGTGGCAGACTGAATAGACATTCTCGTTCCTTTTGAACGTTCCAACTCGTGAATTTGTGTGAGAGGATTTTATTTCAACGGCCGTGTCGAGTTCTAAGTAAACACATGACTCGTGAATGACATACCTGTCTCGTGCGCTATTTCATCAAAGTTCCTCTAGCAAAGATTTGAGGGGAAGATTTGGTTTCATCTATTGCCGACGCGCATGTGTAGGGACTAGGTAAGAATCCAGCTTAGGGTCACGAGGGAATATATAAACGCTACTCCACATTTCAACAACACCCCTCCACATGTACCCCCACACCCCACTCTCCCACTCTAGTGTTCTCCCGTTAACGACTACCGCTCGCCCAATTTTTGGCAACGTCTCAGTACCTATCTGGAGATAAGTAGCCGATCTAGCCAATCTCTCACAAGCTCGCGCGTAACCTTCCTCAATTGATTGACGGATAATCAAACATTTAGCTAATCGACGCATAATGATGCAAGCACCCAAGAGTCTTTATAACTTACTATCGGGAAAAAGCGGGGTTGGAAATCTGGGGTCTTTAAATTCTCCCCCAGTCGGGAGTTCAGTATACCCCGCGGGGACGCTCCATATGTTAGCTTCGTATCTTCATCGTCCCGAAGTATTCCACATAACACATGGGGAATTACTCAATTTATATGATTTTCTATACTAATTACCGACTCCATTGCCTTTGTTTAACCGCTCGCTCATTGCCAAGTTTCAACGCCGATGAGGTGGAGACGAGGATTGATTTATCGCGCGTCTTTTGAGTTCTACTCAATTGTTGGTGACACTACATAATCTGTCTCGAAAAGTCACATATAGAGGGGCTTTTCACTTTTCACCGTTTTCCTTCTTCTTCTTCTCCTGGAAATCAAGATAGAGGGATAATAGAACCATGGATCAAAACAAACAAGGAGAGGGAGAAGTAACTCATCTCGAGGATCCTCCAATTCAACAAGGGAATCACCAATTCGACACCCTTTCTCCGCAATCTTCATTACCACCATGGAAGCCATTGCAGAGGAAACAGCCAGAGGGTGATACAGCTCTTGCTTTATTTCAGGATACGGAACAATTGCATCAAGCGATTGACCCCGTCGAAGAGAGGAAATTGATTAAGAAAATCGATATGGTTATTTTACCATGTTTAGCTGTCTGCTATATGTTCTACTACGTATGTCATTGTTTTCACCCTCAAACTCCGCTTTTGTTCTTTTCTTTTCAATAACAAGAACAATTGCTAACACGATTTAGATCGATAAAACCACCCTTTCATACGCCGCCATCTTTGGAATAAAAGATGATCTTCATCTCGAAGGGACAAAATACTCCTGGCTTTCAAGTATCTTCTATTTTGGCTGGCTCGCCTGGGCCTTCCCCACCAATTATCTGATGCAAAAGTTTCCGGTCGCGAAATACCTCGCTTTCAATATCTTTATGTGGGGTGCTCTTCTTATGTGTCAGGGTGAGAATTCCTTTCCCTATTAAGATTGAAGCTGGGACTCTCTTCCTCGTCATTCATATCACTAACCTTCAACAGCTGCCGCACGCAACTTCACCGAACTCGCCGTTCTTCGCGCCCTTTCCGGTGCCGCAGAAGGCTGTAGTGATTCTTCTTTCATGATCATCACATCCATGTGGTACACGCGACGCGAGCAACCCATCCGAATCGGCCTCTGGTATTCCGCTAACGGTGTGGGAATTGCACTCGGAGGGCTCATCGGATACGGAATCGGAAATATCCGCGGGTCTTTAGCGTCGTGGAAATATGAGTTTTTGATCGTCGGGGCCTGTTGCTGTATTTGGGGAATTGTCTTGTGGTTCTTCTTACCCGATAGTCCTGTTACGGCAAGGGTGTTGAGTATCGATGAGAAGCGGATGGCGGTGGAGAGATTGAGGGAAAATCAAACGGGAGTGGAAAACAAAACCTTCAAGTGGAAACAGGTAAAAGAATGGGCGGGAGATTATAAAACTTATTTGTTCTTCTTGATTGGACTTGTGGCGAATATTCCGAATGGAGGAATTAGCAATTTTGGTACCTTGATCATCAAAGGGTTTGGATACTCAACGTGTAAGTTTCCCCTTCTTTTTATTTTTGTTCGTTTTCCTTGCGATTGTTGTCAAAAACCGTAAATGGATATATGAATCTTGACTAACAAACAAAAGTGATAACAACCATCATGCAAATCCCTTACGGTGTCCTCATTGCCTTCAGTATCCTCCTCTGCGTCTTTCTCAACGATCGCTTACCTCCCAATAACCGCTGTATCATGATCCTCATCTTTCTCCTCCCCAACATCACGGGCGCATTCGGACTTCAATTTCTTCCTCAGACTCACCAGGTTCCTCGTCTCATAATGTATTACCTAACCGGACCCTACAATGCCTCGTTCGTATTATTACTCTCCGTACTGTCAGCCAATACCGCGGGACATACAAAGAAAATCCTCACGAACGCGACACTTTTCGTAGGTCTTTGCGTGGGAAATATCTCCGGTCCATTCTTTTATAAGAGTTCTCAGGCTCCGAAATATCAATTAGGAATATGGAGTATGATTGTGTCGCATTTGGCGGAAGCCGTGTTGATTATAATTTTGAGATTTTTGTTGAAGAGGGAAAATGAGAAGAGGGATTTGCAGCAAGGAATTGATGTGGCCAGTGGAGTGAGAGAGGGGCGGGGAGATGAATTTGCGGATGAGGATGAGGAGGAAAGAAGAAGGAGGGATTTGGATGATACTGCTTTTGCAGATTTGACAGATAGGGAGAATGAGAACTTTAGGTATATTTTTTAAAGGATAGATGTTGATGGGGTGGATTTGAAGAGGGGTAAAGGAGACTGGTGACAGGTTCCAGAATATCCATGGATTGGATGAATATGAACACATGAGCACGGAGATATTTGGAATGGTAAATCCACTCTATATAGAAGAGGATATCATAGACCAATAAATCAATTCTCATATTAATGAAATCCCAGACTAAAGATTTTGAAATGATCATTCTGTACTGTTTCAAATCCATCTGCTTCACAATTCTGACATGAACTTGTGACGAGGTAGAAACAATACATCATCTTTAGATTTGAAATCAAAAAGGAATTCGACAGCGCACAAGACTGAAGTATGAGATTGAACTACAATATACATAGATACCCGGCAATAAACTTCAAAAATCAAAGAACACACCTACTTACCTTGTCCATAACTCCCCTCATCCGCCCCTCCCCATCCTTCTCCCTCTTCCTCCCCGAATGCTCAAATATCAGCCCTTCATCAAAACACAAACGATCTTCAAAGACTACCGGTAACTTGTAAGTCCCCCCTCTTTCTCATTCTTAAATTATCCCTCCGCTCCCCGAATGTAAAAAAATGAAGAGCTTCCCATTATCCAGTCATGCAGTCGATGGAAGGCCAGGTGTTCACCTGGAGTCTTGTTGCACGTCTCACTTTCAGGTATTCCGATGATATTGAATTAATGTTTGCTTGGGATGATGCTTCTTGAATATACTCCCGCAAAATGTCCTTCTGAGGGGAATGAATTTACAGGCAATCCCTTCCTTAATATTCAAGGACGTCGTTAATTGAACATCTCATTTCCTCTAGATTCCCAGATGCTTGAGATATTTCGTAAATCTACCTTACGAATCCCTCATTGATGGGAGCAGGTAGATATATACATACACACAGGGCATCACGTTACCACCACGAAGAGGTTTTTGTTGCATGTCTCACCTCCGAAATTTCCGGAGAAGTGCCAGAATAACACTGAAAAGGGGTATGTGTTTCTTGCGTTTGTCTTACCCGAGTACTCCTTCCAAGGAGTTTCAATATGTGCGCACCCAATCGTATCCAGCGCTTCTCATCACCACAACCCAAGGAATATTTGTTGCACATCTCATCCGAAGAATCCGGTTCATAAATGAAAGTCAATAGCATAATGATGCTGTTTCTTGCCACAAATGCTTCTCTTCTACATCTTATTTCCGAACTTCCCGGAAAGAATCTTAGTATATGTGAAGGGTAAACACCGGATAGCAACTAGAAGACTTGATAGATATTTTGTTGCGTGTCGCATCCCCGAGCTTCCCGGTTGCAGTTACTTCGAAGACTGTTCAATCCTTCAAAATCGTTTGTTGCATATCGCATTCCGGATTTCCCGGGCATAATATAACGTATTAGAAAAGTATATGTGGTGAAGATTTATGGTACATCCCATCTTCCGAGAGTTCCGGTACCTAGTTTGAGGATGTTACCGCTAGGTCGACAATGCGATAAATGTATATATATAGCAAGAAGAAAGAGATTGTGCTGGACAAACAAAAGTCATAGTCCATTTCAAGAGAGATGACACGATCATCCATGGATGGAAGTCTCCTTCAACGAATAGTCTCACTGATCGATCAGATCGATCAACCACTTTCGTGAACAGAGATCACGTGAACATGTACTATTCATATCATGCGGCTAGAGATTTTGAGTACTACTCATTGTCTATTCACGTCCAAACTTAAGCCACCGAAACGCACGCTTTAATGAGACGATGTTTCGAAGATAAGATGACTCGACATCTTGAGGTTTTGCAACATTGATTGAAAGCTTGAATAGCTTCATCATCAAAATTAAGCCGAAATATTTGTCTGGACTTTGCGTTTTGTCTTGGTTCTCGATTCTGTAACCACCCAAGCAGCACCCCTCAAACAAAAAAGAAAAGGGATCAGCCAAGAACGCGGGGCATTGACATTATAGATTGACAATGGGGTACCGGTCTCGAGCCGGGACATGTCGTTCATGATACCGAATTACGAAATTAGCCAATTGATCGACACATAGCGTTGCGACGATTCTTCCACAGATGGCTTGGATTCAAAGCAAAATCTAATCGTGGTTCGCGACGTGCGATCCGAATCTGAGTACTAATGTATGAGATGAAAACTCTTCATTATCCGCATATTGCAGTGGCAATAAAGCACAGAGCTAAGAAGGTATTCAGATGTGCTTTGGTCCTTCAATAACTTAAATATCTCGGGCCACGGAAGAAAATAGGGAGTATTTGAGGTTGAAAAGTCTGATGTTAGTTAGGGTTGCCAAGGGTTGTTCGGCGTAAGACCATCTTTGCGCGAAAAAGTGTATTAAGTTATTAGTCAGATCGACTGTAGGGCGTAGAAAGGTATTCATGGGTTGCAATTGGAGAATTTCACACTCGCGTCGAATTTCCATCAAAAAAACGAGAAATCGTTTTCCAGTGTGGTAGTCAATTGCATCCTGATGAAGAGGCTTATTAATCATATTAATCATTTGATGGTAAACAAAAAATCCAAAAATAAATCATCCCATCTCATTGTTCTTGAGAAATCCAATTCGGAACATTTTATGCTATGCGTTCATTTCATATTCACATGTATATCATGTATATGTATAGATTATCTCATCAAACTATTGATGTCGTCGTAATCAAATTCTATCACATCCATGCATGGGAGTAGATCATAAATCTCTACGGAGCATGCTTGTTTGACTTTTCACTTGACATAGCCTCCAGGGGGAGTTCCATGTCGTTCCCTAGGTAAGCTTCCCTTGGAAAATCCCTGGCCAGAACCAGGTCAAAACTGTGGGATCACGGGTAAACTAATAGATACATGTATCCATAGTACCGAGTAAACAATGGTTCATCCATCAATCACTGATGAACGGGATCTAGAAGAAGTGGTAAAGGAGGTCTGGACTATTTGAGAGATTCTCGATTGCCTTCTTCTGAGTCCTAAGTCGGAGTCTTGAAATTTTCAAATGCAAACAAATGAAGATCATACAATATCATGCAATACCATAGAAATTGTGAGGTTTCATTACCGGTGTAATATGATGGGAATAGAAAAGACGAAATGAAGGGGTTTCACAGCTTTTTATATATCGTTGTATTTTGACATCTAGAATCCTGTCTGTGATTTCTCAAAATGAACGTGATTTGAAAGTGCCCCAGAAAAAGATTGGACACACAAGACATTTCAAGGTTCGAGAACAATTGAAATCTTTTCGTGATTCCTGTTCCGAAATGAAGATGTTCGAACTTCAAACCGAAGGCAAATAAGGAAAGCAAAGCAAAGTAAAAATAGAAATGAATGACGACTCACGAGGCAAGCTAGCTACCATTCGTTCATTGGGTTGTCACGGGGAAGTGAAAGGAATGGCAATGAATCAAATACAATAAATCAACATGTTGGTTTTATACTTTGGCAATAAGAAGTGCGCCTGTGTATCTCAGGAATACTAAGAAAGCTTGAGGGATGATTTATTGACCTAGTATTGATGCGATATGTTGGAAAGTCTACGTAGTCATGATTACCTACCGGCATCTGTGTGTATGATTTGCTGCTTATGGATACGAGCAAGTTGTCTTTGCTCTCTTTGGCTACGACTTGGGTATCGTGCTCCTATTTTAAGGTTTCCTATACGAAAAGATGGGCGTTATAGGCATGAAGTCAATCTTCTCGCTACTTGGATGTTGGAGTACAGGATAAAAATATGTCTTTACCATGGGATGAATCATGAAGCAATGAGGATTGTACGAGGGCGGCGATGGACGTCAAACATACTTACTCTGTAGGTCTTTGGAGGCCTTGGACGGTGATCATCTTGGTCCCCCTTCCTTTCCCCTAATATCAACGTGTACTTACACACCAACATGATTATCCGAGCCACCATCAAAGTATTATGCAGAGATGAAGTAGTCAACGCAAAACTAATGCAGGTCCCAAAGCATGCAAAATAGTAGTACACGATGGAATTTCATTCGTCAGAGTGTCGGTATGGGTGGAAGTACGGAAGTGTTTCTCCTTTTCGAGCCATTTCTAACTTGGCACGATTCGTTTCTTTTTTGCCCCAGATGTCCAAGAAACCGGCAGGAGAATTTCCAACTTGGCATCGATCGTGTTTACTAACTTTACGGTACGAGGTATTGATTGCAGACATTTGATTTAATCCAGAAAAGGAAATGCACCATGAATTAATCCCCTGAGAAATGAAGTTTGATTGGAGGATGGGGAGATAAATAATGGTCCAAAATCGAAAGAAGTGGCTCTTGCTTATCCTGGCAGCCACCTTGCTAGGTTACCTGTCAGGTACGATGTAATTTTTTATGGTTCGTCCAACCACGCACCGAAGCAACGAAGCAACGAAGCAGCGAACCAGCGAACCAGCGAGCCAGCCAGCCAACCAACCAACCTTGGTAATAAAGACCTCTTCGAGACCTCCACCATCCATCATCCACCATCCACCCTCCACTCACCACATCCCCTGCCTTTTCTCCTTACTTGCATGTTCAATCCTCAATCCCCTCCCTCCTTCCCTCCCCCCCCCCCAGTTTTTCCTTACCAGGTTGATTCCCCAATAAATAATAATATGTAATTGAAGCCTTTTCTCTCTTCCTTCTATTCCATTCCAGATCTCTCTCATTCCTCCTTCTTTAAGATCCTTAAAACACTCTTTAGACTCTAGATCTTTCCTCAATTATTCCAAGTCTCTCTCTTTAAGGTTGATAGTTGCCAGGTATTCCTTCTTAATTCACTACCACCTCCAAACTCAATTCTACACCATTCGTTATCCTCCATCGACTTTGACTTCTTCTACACTCACTCGCTCATCATAATCAAATCACTTTGTCGACTTATTCTCTCTTAATTGTGGAATTCATCATTCAGTTTATAACAACATCATACGTCTCGCTCCATTAACATATCAAAAACAAACAAACAAGCAAACAAACAATACCATCATAATTCATCATGCTCTCCAAGACTCTTTTCGCCGTTGCGGCTTCGCTCTCCACTGCAAGTGCTGTTAACCAAGGTTTCAACTATGGTGCAACAAATGCAGATGGTTCTTACAGAGTTCAATCTGATTTCCAAGATGCTTTCGAGACTGCCAACTCTCTCGTTGGTACCTCTGGTTTCACCTCTGCTAGATTATATACTATGCTCGTAAGTTGACGGAAATATTCCTCACATTCTCCTTCATGCTAACAATTTTTTTTAAAGCAAGGTGATACTACCGACCCAACTTCAGCCATTCCAGCCGCTATTGCCTCAGACACAACTCTTCTCCTTGGTTTATGGGCTTCTGGTGGAGCTGCCGGTGTTACTGCTGAGATCAACGCCCTCAAGGCAGCCATCACAAAATATGGTACCGCTTTCACTAGCCGAGTCGTTGGTATCTCTGTAGGATCCGAAGATTTGTACAGAAACTCCCCTACTGGTATCGCTGCCAACTCTGGTTATGGTGCCAACCCAGCCGACCTTGTCGACTATATCAAACAAGTTAGAGAAGCAATTGCCGGTACTGGTTTGAGTGGAGCTTCCATTGGACACGTTGATACCTGGACTGCTTGGGTCAACGGATCTAACAGTGCTGTCGCCGAGGCCCTTGACTGGGTTGGAATGGATGCGTAAGTTCAGCAGTCTGTCAATTTTCAATTTCATGACTAACATATTATTTAGTTACCCATACTTCCAAGATACTGAGGCAAATGGAGTCAGCGAAGGAAAGTCTCTCTTCAACTCCGCCTTAGCTGCTACACAATCTGCCACTGGAAAGACCGTTTGGGTCACTGAGACCGGATGGCCTGTTACTGGTGCTACTGCTGGTGATGGAGTTCCAAGTGCTGATAACGCCAAGACATACTGGGATGATGTTGGATGCCCTAACTTCGGAAAGATCAACATGTACTGGTACACTCTTCAAGATCAAAACGCTGCCTCATCCGTTACTCCATCTTTCGGTATTGTTGGTAGCACTTTGAGCACCACCCCATTGTTCGATCTCAGCTGTTCCAACACTACATCAAGCTCCTCATCAACTGCTTCTTCCAAGGCTACCAGTGGTGTTGCATCTATTGCTACTGGAGGATCCGTCGCCTCTGCTGGCTCTGGTCTTTCTCCTACCGGTATGGGTGCTGGTATCTCTGCTGTCTCAGGTGCCGCTTCCCCAAGTGGTACAGGTTCAGCCGGTGGTTCCCCAGCCGGTGGATCAACTAACGGTACCTACACTGCCTCTACCCTCAAGTCCTCAGCTGGATCAAGTGCTACTGGAACATCCGCCTCAGGATCCGGTTCATCTGGTTCATCTTCAGGATCTGCCTCTGGATCATCATCCTCTTCCCCATCCGAATCCACCGGTGGTGCAGCATCCCTTACCGGATCTGTTGCACTTGCCCTTGGAGCCGTCTTTGCCGTTGCAGCTGCTTTGTAAATGAAATGAGTTGTGTTTATGGGAAGAATGTGTGGTTTGCATTACATGGGTAGCATTAAAATTGGGGAATTATGGTATTATAGCTTTTGCTTTTTCTTTTGCGGCATTTTTTGGTGGTGAATTAATACCACAATGACCGGTCTTCATAGATGGAGTTTTTAAATTAAACAAGCATGAATTATAGTGGATGGATTCATTGTCACATTAGACAGCGGGACATTCCTTCTTTTACAAACAATGAAAAAGTATTGAACTTATGTGGTTTTAGCAATTGATGAGACTTGAGAAGTGATTTGTTGTTATATTGTGATAGCAATTCTATTTACATGTACAATTTGGTGAAGCAGTCTTGACCCTGAGGGATTGAACAATATATTCTACATTCTGTATCACCCACCCTTCACTCCTTTATTCGAAGAGCGCTTGAAACCTCGAACCTTTCATTGATGATGAAGGCCACGGTATCTAATCTTTTCCATAGATGTAGATGAAGTGTCGTCATAATCTACATGCCCACATTCCTTGCATTCACGATGGTAGAACGTGGGAGAGGTGGAACGGGATAGGAAGTGGAATGCGGGAATGGGAATGCGGGTAGTTACTTGCATTGATTAATAAATGAAGAGATAGGCGGGCTTGGCGTCGAGAGGGAGAGGGAAAGATTGTGATGGGCGTTGGAGGATAGAATATGGGGATTAATTTAGGGCTGGACCCTGGAGTGATGGAGGAAAGCAGAATTTTTAGGGGTATTAGGCGCCTACTACCTATGTAGGTATGTGAAATGGGGGAATATGCCTAGGGGGAGTATAAGGTTACATGGAAATTCCTAATCTAGGTATGACACGACACGTAGCTCTGAAGACCTTTTCATGAGCGCTTCTGATTGTGTATACTCGAGTGGTAATAAGAAATCTCATGATGTATTTCTACCAAGTATTTCAAGGAAACGATAGGCGCTATACTCACTGAATGCATGAGCGGGCAAGACGGGCGCCAAGGGGATGGTCTCGGGGGTTTAGTTGTTAGTCTGACGGATCGTCATTCAAGAACATTTGGGTTTTGCGAAGAGAATACCTAGCTAGTTAGGTAGGGTGATACACTTACATATCTAGTACTTACATGCACATATATGTTTGGAGAGATTTTCTCGATTGAACAAACACATCCATCCATTCATCTGTAAATGTAAATATGAAATCATTGAATGTTGAATCGAATATTGATGCAATGAACCCCGCTGTAGACGTAGGTATGTATCCAAGATCCACCACAGCTTTATCAGGGCCACTGTTTATCTTGTTTCCATCACCCCATAATTCCATCTACGACACGATACGATACGATGGGGATTTGGGAGATCCATGCTGAATGTTCAATGTTCCCGCCGAAAAAACTTTTAAGGTGTGTTATAACCTAGGAAAATAATGGAGTGCGAAGGATAAGCTTAACCAAAGCGCAATTAGGTGGACTCTGTAGGCTGGACTCTGCAATACGAAGACACAATACATAATATATCTAGGTAGTATCTAAAGGAAAGGATCTCAGGGACAGACGGATGAACGGACGGATGAGAAAAAGAAGGTTTTTTTTTTTTTGGTTTCTTGGCTTTGTGATAATATAAGGCTTGATGGTTTTGAAGGTTGACTAGAAAAGCTTGGAGAGGATAGAAAGGGCTTGGAAAAGCTTTTGTCGATGTTTGATAGACAACCTCGTGATTTTGTCGCAAACAATTGAATGTCTGTTGCTCTGCTGGAGGTTGTCACAAATATCATATTGTTAACGTGAACTATGAGTCCTTTCCATCCATCTGCTTTGTATTAAATGTTCCGCTAGCCCTCTAGAGACTACTACCGTGAAGGTGGATTAGATTGGAAGTAGAAGCCTTCGAGCGCAGCGAGCTATGGGGGTTTGGGGGCTTGCTCCCATAAAGGAAAGAATGTAATCTTTGAGAGAATTGATAAGGATGATTTCTATAATTGTATCGTCGACATAGATATCTATTGATATGTTCGGATGCATATCGTATTAAACTCTCGTGATATAAAATTGAATGAGAGGCTATGCCCAAGAGCCATGGCCCATAACATAAGGAAGGGAAGGATCCTATTAAAAAAACGTTCAGCTGCGAATCAAAAGAGAAAGCGCTACATGAACCTTGCTCTGCTTTGGGATTATCCTCCAATGAATCCATCTGAGATTATCTCACTACTAACTTCTCACTCATTACAACCAATCTTCTTCCTCCATCTTCCCTCTTCCCTCTTCTCTTTTCCCTCTCTCTTTCTTGACTCTATCGCACCTGTTCATCTCATCGTCTTATTGTCACTTACTTCTACAAGTCTTTCAATGACTCTCTTTCCATATTGATGGATTATCACCATAAGGGAAATTTGTAACATAAGAAGAAGTATTTGACGTCCATTCGTTTCTTAAATTGATTTGAACCTTTTTGGAAGGATACTTCTAAGATTGGGTGAATCCTACAAACCACTTAAGGATTCCCAACTTCAGCATCGACTCTTCCATATCTACAAACACACACGACGCACTGCATTCTACATACTGCACACTACACACTATCGAAAAACTTTGGACAAAATGCTTCCTACTTTCGCTTTATCGGCTGCGACGGCAGTTCTACTCGGTTCCTCAATGGTTAATGCTGAGATAGAATTAAACCTGGATGACGATAGTATGTTTGTTATGGTTTTCATTCGGGCATTCGAAAACGGTCTTTCACCCTACAGCCTTAGACTTGCTAACTAGAATTTTTGTTTTTCAACATAGCTTCAATTAAGAATGCGGCTGCGACAATCGCATACGATATGATGACATACTATAAGGGAAATCAATCGGGAGGAATACCTGGAGTTTTACCTGGACCTCCACCAGATCCTTCTTGGGGTTGTGAGTTTAAAATTCTTTGCTTTTCTTCTCTCTCCATTCTAGACTTTGCGCAAATGTAAATGCGACAGGAAAATAGGAATGTGGAACTGATTTTCATATCCATTGTTTAGATTATTGGTGGGAATCCGGTGCGATGTGGGGGTCTCTTATCGATTATTGGTATTATACTGGCGATTCCTCATACAACGATGATGCGATGGCGGGTATTCAATGGCAAACTGGGGCAAATAATGATATGATGCCTGCGAATTGGTCACAATCTATGGGAAATGATGATCAAGGATTTTGGGGAATGACAGCTATGACTGCAGCGGAAACGAAATTCCCGGATCCTCCTTCGAACAGACCAGGTTGGTTGGCTTTGGCTCAAGCAGTTTTCAATACTCAAGCTGTGAGAATTGATAATGCTACTTGTGGTGGAGGGTAAGCTTTTATGACTTGGAGATTGGGAGAGGGAATTGGGCTAATGCTTGATAGTTTACGTTGGCAAGTTTATCCATATCTTACGGGTTACAATTATAAGAACTCTATCGCAAATGGATGTTTCTTTAATATCGGGGCGAGACTCGCAAGATACACCAATAACGAAACATACGCCCAATATGCTGAAGAAACATGGAATTGGGTCAAAAGTGTGGGATACATGGACAAAGATTATAATATTTATGATGGTGCTCACATTGAAGAGAATTGTACGGATATTAACAAGGTTCAATTCTCTTACAATTCGGGAGTTTACCTACTTGGTGCAGCTACCATGTATAATCATGTACGTTCCTTTTCTGTTCTCTTTCCTCTCGATCTTTGATACCCTCAAATATTTATACTAACATGGGAGTAGACAAATGGCTCCGAAATTTGGAAAGAACGTGTCGATGGACTTCTCAATGCTACATTCAAAAACTTCTTCCCTACCGGTGATATCGCCTATGAAATTGCTTGCGAAGCAAAACTTTCATGTACAACTGACATGTTTTCCTTCAAGGCATTCCTCACTCGTTGGTTGGCCTCAACCACAAAAATGGCCCCTTACACTTATGATATAATTATGCCATACTTGAAAGCATCCGCAGTCGCAGCAGCAAAACAATGTTCAGGTTCGAGTCCATTTGCTGGTAGAACATGTGGATTGAGTTGGAGCAAAGGAACGGATTGGGATGGAACATCTGGTGTGGGACAACAAATGGCAGCCATGAGTGCTATTTTCGTAAATCTCGTTCAACAAACACTAGCTCCGGTTACGAACAGTACAGGTGGAACTAGTGTGGGGAATAGTGCGGCGGGTAGTGGAAGCACGACTAGTTTGGATGCTGTCAAACCGCCATCTACAGGAGACAGAGTGGGAGCTGGAATGGTTACGACGGTGGTTTTGGTAGGAATGACAGGAATGTTTGGGTGGATGAGTTTGTAAATTGGAAGGAAAAGGAAGGGGGGGATGGGGGGATCGAGAGATGGATATGGGAGAGGAGAGAGGGCAACGGAATAAGAATGGGGAAGGGAAAATTATGAAATGGAGTTGGGAAATTAATGTTTATTTTCTTTCTTTACGAGGATATGGAAGGATATGGGATAAGGTGTTTAAGCGTACAACATCTGCTGGGTTGGTGTGATTGATGGGAAAGGATGGATATGACATGAGATGTTGAGTTGGTGGTTACAGTACTGGCTGTGAATTCTTGTATTGCATTGTTTTTGCGTGCATATACCCCATACATTGCTTTACTAAGAGGTACACACAGAGAGGATGAATCGGCGATAAAGGATTGGTGATGAGAATGAAAGGATTGGATGGGATGGGATGGAATGAATAAATGAGATTTTAAAAAAAATATATCATTTTGATAAATTGATGCGTAAGATGTTGTGAGTATGATGCATGGGTGGGAAAACAGGGCGGATAATTATTGATTTGTTCGTTTGGAAACTCTGAGGGCAAGGTGGTGAGGGAGGATGGGTGAATTTTGGAAGAATGTGGATCCTGGAGAATTCATTTGGTGGATTGGGATTTTTCGGAGAGGAGAGGGGAAGTGGGACATGTGAAAGATTGGTTGGGCGGTTGGGCGATGGGATGGGATGGAGGGGATGGCGAGGAT